CCACACTCTTCAAGGTCGCCGCTGACAATATCTAGCCTCGCCAGATGACCCCAGCGATGAAACAGAGTCTGTTCGTGACAAATTCGTTCAATCGCTGAAGGAGAGATATCTGAACGATAGTCGCCCACCTGATGGATTAATCTACGAGCGTATCAGCTTCTACGAAGGCTATCTCAACACACCGAGGGATCCACTCGCTGCCAATAAATGGTGGGCTGTATTGGAGGCAGTTGCGGGAAGTAAGAAAGGAAAATATTTAAAGCAGTTCTTCAAACATGAAACATTACACCAAAAGCTAAACTCATTGCTCGTTATTCCGGGTCTCTGGGAAGGGAAGGCATGCGGATTGGGCTACTTCATAAAGTGACAGCCATGCATTGCGACGAGGTGAGTCTAATTGGAGGTCCAAAGCCAATCGGATTAATTTCAGCTAACCGAAGTACAAATATAGCCTATTGGATGCTACTGGGGATTGATCTTCAGCACTTTTTCGAGACTGGTTGGAGGAAGAGACGAGCTTTTACCACTAGTAGATGGAGTCACGGTCGAGCTGATTCAGTCTCGTGTCCCTAAGATCTCCAACAAAGATTTAAGATTCTTGGAGGACAATATGAAGAAGGGCAGGCTTTTTCCGAACTTCTCAGAAGAAGATCAACAGGAGATTTGGGCGCGCTTGACTGAGATTGATTATCCAATCCCAACCTTGAAAACATTTTTCAAAGATCGGCTCTATCTTGAGGTCGCTCAATATGTCATGAAGCGACTGTTCGTCCAGCCGCGGAGCGAAAAGATTACCATTGACCAAGGTGTGTACGGGAAGTACGACACTCCGGTTCCCGTCTCGATGGCGCTGAGACACCAATGGCTAGGAAACGACGTACTTGAGTTTTGGCGCTTCAGTTTCCAGTACGGATTTGAGATGACCAATCACCAACGCCTAAAGTGGTCCAAAGACGGTGAACCTGAAGATATGTTTGATCAGCAGAGCTCTGAGTCCTCTTTTCTCCCCAGACAAGAGATATGGCGCCATTTCTTTGCACTCGTGAGGGCAAGAGCATTCCAAGCACCGGTCCCGAACGACAGCTCATTTGCAACAGTGGAGCTACCTTCCCCCAGGCCGTGTGAATACCCAGAGGACATATCCGAAGAGATCGATGTTGCGAAAAGGTGCGGAAAGCCATACTCGAATACTGTCGAGGCCGATCGATTTGCCCTGTCTGCAGAGTCGCTGCAGCAAAGCAAGATTCCAGTTCGCGTGACAGCAGGCTTTCTCCGACAGTCTGTCTTCAAAGCGTTCTTTGGCTATCTGGGGAATAGCAATGGTCAAAAACACACGGTGGTGATCCTCCCGAAAACAACAGCGACATTCAGAATTACGGCGAACAGCTGAATCGAGGAGCTGTTGTTGGGAACGCGACAGCGACACAAGACATGGATGTGGATTCTGGGAGTGTCACAGAGAGCCCTCTCGCCGCCTCAACAGCCCTGACTCATAATGCGGTAGTTGTTGCTCCGGCGGCGGATCAGCCACCATCGTTCTATGTCATGAAAATCACCGTAGGAGGAACTTCACGAAGCCTAGGCCTACCAATCCATGAGGCCTTTTTTAGTGACTCTTCAACTGGTCTATTTAGTAACAACTTCAATGTCCAGCAGATGGATGGGCGTTCCATAGTCCCAGACCGATGCTATTTGCATTACCAAGAACATCCATCGTCGCAGCTCCATGCCAAATTCAGAACAAATCATTACTCTAAGTACCATATGACATCCTCGCAGATGAGCACTGGGAGCAAGGGGGATATCAGAGGACATCAGCAGATGGCAAGAGCGAAGACATGGTTACAGGAGCAAGTTAGCAAGCTTCCGGATCTGCGTAACGTTGATGGAGGAGAACTTTAACGGGAAACGAAGTATGAATTTTGGTTGCCACTACAAAGTCTATTGGAGATTTCGGAGAACACCTGATAAGTATGTATAGCGACATATTTATCCTGGATAAAAACCGGTGGAAGTATGTAAATATATAGTATATATCCTACAGAATGATCCATAAATAAATAGTTGTGCGCTTCTTGGTTAATGAGACGCAATGTGGTTCGCTGCTGGGCGAAACTCCATTGGAAACAAGCTGGGTAGAAGTTCGGCATTGATGTTAGGTATCTTACACTTTTCTGTCTTACACCTGAGACAGGAAATCTCAGAGCCATCACGAACTTGATGACTCGAACTATTCTCCGATTTCTATATTTTTCTTGAATTCAAAACATAGCGCGACAATTCAAGTCTGCACTCCTGGCACTATCAAGGGTTCTATATCACATGTGAAAAGAGGGCCGAGTCACTTGGCTAGTAGTTTGACAAGGGCGGTATTGTCTCCTGAAATTCAGTGAAGCTGAGTGCATTCCTCTGGCGTATATACCCGGGGGAGTTGACCGTCCAGGGAGACGACAATGGTATGACAATCAATTGTAGCATGGAAGTGATCTTTAAAGCCTGTGCGTTAGTGATTCCCCTACTATGCCAAAGGCTGTCGTCTGCCAAGAAACATTCTTCAAAACATTTGAAACAGCCTACGTCGCGTTGCCGTATGAAATCGTGGAAAAGTAGTATCAGCCGTAATTCAATCATTGTCTGGTCTATTTCTTTGGAAGGGGTATAGTCTACTACATGACCGATAAAGCGATATCTCGACTCCACTTCCACCCAAAATTGCCAAGAAAACACAAAACGGATATCACTCGCGTAGGCAATGGAATTGGTCAATCAACAGAGCCGCCAAATCGGGCATATTCACTAGATTTTCATCAACTCGCCCCTCATTATATTTCTTGAGAAAATGCTGGATCAAAAATGATCCAAGTAGATACATCCGGGCTGGGGGAAGCTGGGTTTCAGTCAGCTCTTGCTTGCACACAGTTGTCTTCATTGAGCCGTTTCGAGAAAATGTCCGTTCTTCGAGCTCAGATTGTAATAATGATAGGTGTGCACGAAGAAGCAAGATCCGTCGTGAATTGCGATGAACAGCTTGACTCAATCTCTTCAGCTTGGGCCAGCCTCGTCTCTTTAAACTTTGAATTTCAGTCAAAATTTGACTTGTATTTACTTTGGCCCGCTCCTTGCTCGACCGCTCTGAGATCATACCTCCGAACACCTGCAATATTGGCCTGATTGGGCAATTTGTAGAAATCCCGCGGCATTCCTGTGCGGACATGAGTTACGGTGTCCGTGCTGCTCAGATGGTTGTATCCCAGTTGATGGGTCTCGATATGCATCAAGTGGAACGACGGAGCACGCTGCCACTCTCGACTCTGCTGAAAATTTTATTCTGGAGATGACTCGTAGGATTTTAACTGGGTCTTACTTCTATTGACTATTATAATATCCAGTAGGCTATGAAGAAGTTCGGCTAGGTTCATCGGCTGTGCTTTTTTCCATTCGCATGAGGTTTAGTTTAGTTCATGAATTTGGCTGCGGTATTGTTATGTAACAAAACAGAAGGTAATGTCGGAACGTGGTCGTTACAGTACGGACTAGTACGGGCATATCCAATTGAGTACTTGAGAGTGTGTTTTATATACTATAGAAAGTGCAGAATAAATAGGGGTTGAGCTTAGTAAGGTGGTTTGGAGCCTTGGGATCATCAGGCAGATGGGGGTGCTGAATATTCCTCGGGCGCACTAGTAAAATGGCGACCCTCTTTTGTTGACAATTACACCTCAGTTGGTATGATTATGTCATTAAACACCACCCGCGTCCTGCGGTCAGGGCATTCGACCAGCTGTCACGGGATTCGGGTCGGTCGAATTTGTACCCGCCCGATTCCCCGCTCCCTCTTTGGTAAGTCCCAGCTCACAACCTTGCATGATAACCGGCGTAGATTGAACAATTCGCAAAGTATGAATAGTCTTAATCGATACTGGAATGACTTGTTGATTTTCCTAGGCAGCAAATTGCCATGTCCTCGGAGAGTCCAAAATCAAGCACTCTGACAGACTTCGCGCCAATTTTCGAACACGTCGAACATTTGAAGCTGAATACAAAATCCTCACAGTTCGATTGTTGCGATGAATTTCGCGAGGAAGGAATGCGATGGATGGAAGAAATCCAACTCCGCGACGGAGCCATCAACGAATTGAGGGGTGAAATTGCAAGATTACATGAAGTAATCAGTATCCTTAAGCATACTGCCAATGCGTAGAGAGTGCGATACTTGATCTTCTAGCTCCCTTAAATGTTTGAGACGGAAAGAGTACTTGCTATTGAGAGACTAAACTTTTGATCACATAATAGTCTGACCATCTCTCTGCTATTGGTCCGCATCGCTGGATACTCTGATCCAGAGCTCGTATCTGGGAGACTTCTATGTATTTTTTAAATCCCCTGATTCCGTGAGACCACCACTATAATTTGAAAATTGATGTACTATAGAAAGTTTTAGATATCAATAGAATAACCGTTGAAAACAGAGAATCGCAAGCATGTATTTAAAAACTGATATCATTTCGTATGAACTCAACTTGGGGCTCCATCTAACGACTTAAAACCGTTAGAGAACAAATGAAACCTCAGGTTGACAATGATACATGGTTCACATGTCTACCCAGAATAAAGCGACGTGTCACTTTGAAGGGCTTTCCGAAGTTTGAACATCCGTGTCCCGCTGTATGCTCCCTGGGCGAGTGGTTTGGTTATTGTCAGGCATCGGGGGATGTCTGAGACCCGGCTATCGGATACCGCACTTGACTTGGTGCTGATGCTTAGCTTCTGTATTTGGTTGGCTCTCGGTGGCCCATTGTTGGTTATGTTATACAGCCCCTCAAATAGTTGGCTGTTGCAGGTGTCTTCCACATTGGATGGTGACGTTTTTTCCCTTTTTTTTTGGCTCTGCAAAGCTTTATAAAGGGTAAATTAGAGTTACTGCGCAGAAGATCCCGACCGTGTATTCGGCTGCTTTCTCGAATGACATATTGACGAGGCTTGGGCAAAGGAAGACATTGCTAGGGGCCATTTTCAGCACGCCGACTCTGTCTATGGAATGCATCCTTGACCCTGTCTAATGTTGACTCTTTGTGGTCATCCTCGGCTTTCCCTGTTGAAGTGGCCCTTAGGGCGTCGGATTGCCCGACTTCTCCTTTGACTTCGTCGTCGTGCTCATGAAGCTGGATAAGTAGTTCATATGTCAGTCATACCGGTGTAAAGTCTATCTTGGAGTCTGGGAAAGGAATTAGGGGAGAGTGACCCTACCCTCTCTTCATCTCCCTCAGGATTGTGAATTGGATCATGGCTCTTTTTACCCGCTTTGTCGATAATGTCACTCATGATATTTGCTTGATGATATTGGTTGATATGGGAGTATTAATATGGCAGCGTCTTTAACTGGTAAGTATAAGATGCTTTGGCTATTTCCTGAAACACAGCTGATTTATAATTTAATCTCATCAGTGCTCGTGACTGGTGTGTCGTCATGTACGGTTTAGGATATACTGGGATTATGTCATTTTACAGTGGGCGATACGGGGACTAGATCGCTATAGACCGGATAACCATCAGCCGGGTCACATAGCCTTCATGCTGTCGGAGATTGAGGTTTCTGAGTGGCCCGATCTCCAACTCCTGATCTCTTCAAAAGCTTGTATCGTCCAATCAGACGATCCCAACCCACGGATCATGCAGCCGAAAGCTTACCATGTCCATGGTAGTGCCCGATCCACCTACTCAAGTTTGGCTGGATATTCATTTATCTTCGTCAATTCTCATTCAATATTTCTCAGTAATAGAAGGACATGTATGTCAGCTCAACTCTTTCCTCCCATCACATACGCTTAATGTCATCATATACCATTGTCGATATGGAGATTATGAGTATCGATTCGTGAAGCTTGTCAGCACATCTTTGATCGGAAATTCCAAAGAGTGATATAAGTAGCTCTTGGTTCTTCATCTTCATTGATTACAGCGGTGACTGCGCAGAGATCGTTTTTCAAATCCCCCTGTTTTCGATACATCTTGGCCACTCTCTTGCGCAAAATGTATGTCGCCCTGTGGACCGCCCTCCTGGAATCGGGTTTCCTGCTTGCGGCCGACTTTGCAGCCGCTGAGCCCTTCAAATTCATCGCTCAACGAGCCGAGCCTTCCTGGACATACATTGGTTGCTACTCCAGCCGTACTGGTCTGAACAACAAAACATCATATACCTTTCAAAGTTACGGATGGTGCTTGGATAGATGCATCAAGACCAATGCTGCTACTTTTGCTCTCACAGGGGGTTCTGATTGTCTGTGCGGCACTGAGTTGCCGCCATTATCAGCCAAGGTTGCCGAGGGCGAATGCAACCTGCCATGCTGGGGCTTCACCTCTGATATGTGTATGCTGTAGTTCATCTATCCTTCTCGCTCTTCTTGCTTACACTCAATAGGCGGTGGGAATGAATTCTATTCTGTTTATAAAACTGGCTTGAAGAGCGACGTCCCAACCCAACCCCAGAGCACGACGACCTCAAATGTCTCAAATACCCAACCAACTGCCTCAGCTACGGGTGATAACGAAAGCAGCAGGACCGAAGAAAAGACACAATCAACCTCCAAAACTGGCGTTATTGCTGGTGGAGTTGTTGGTGGAGTGTGCGGGGCTGTTGCTATCATTGGTGGTGTAATTTCTTTCTGGCAATACAAAAAGCGCAAGGTCATGGCTAAATATGGTATCGATGCCGGTGGCAACGGCGCCAACACAACACCGATGTCAGAATTCAGGTTTGATGGCGACTATATTCCACAACGGCATCAAAGCAATGGCAGCATCGACGATTATCGCGAATTCTCTTGTCGGGGCTTGCATGTAAATGTGCCGCCAATGACGTTTAATCATATAAGTATTTGATCTGACTTTAGAACTAGGTGACCAACCCCGACTAACACCCCGCTCCCCTCCATAAGCCTCGTCTCGGTTTTATTTTTCCTCGCTGTCTCGACCAGAGTTACGTCAACTTGCACTGGGCAGTACCGTTGACGAGTGCACTATGTGAGGTACACGCGGGGAATAAACGCTGGTGATGAAAATGCAATTAAATCAATTATATTAAATCATGAATTTTTCCAAAAAGGCAGATTGGAAGTTGTCTGTGCTATTAAGAGAGTGGCAGTGTTTAGTAAATATATAGAACCATGTTGTGCAGCTCCATCAACTTCGTCAATTGCAGTTCTTGTTCTTGTGAAAGTCGATTTCCCGGGTCATCTTCGCGGTAAGCCAAAGTTGAATTTTCGTTTGGCGTTTGGGGAAATGTATACGAAGTGTGGCTCCTACGCTCCCACTCAGTTTCCCTTAGTAGAGAAAAAAAAGGACCTATAGAATCATCTGAAAATATCGAGTCTATGAGAATCTTTATAATTCCGGGCGTGGTATTCTTAGAAGCCGCGATGTGCACGAGGGTCATTCCAGTCCCACGGTCCAAGATGTGTATATCAGCCCCATGCTTCAAAAGCAATATCACTTTTTACTCCTCGTTTGACCGGACAGCCTCCAGTAATGGAGCATGCTTGTCAAACACAACGGCATCTGCCATGGCACCGTGTTCCAAGAGCAACTTGGTGATATGCTTGTTATTGACAGCCCCCAGAAGAGCTGTCGACTGTGCTAGATTCGATGATCGAACATTAACATTCGCGCCTGCACGCAGCATATTCCGCACCCCCAGTTCGTCCCCACGGCTGGCGTACCACAAAAGGGCTGATCCACCATCAGAGCGGAGATTATTTTGGTAGAGCTCATTGGTCAGGAGATGGTAGAACTTTTGGCTAGTTCGGAGTAAGCTGAGAAGGTCTTTTGGCGAATTCAAATGGCTTGAAATGAGCAAAGCCAGTTCCAGTTCTAGAGAGAGAAGAGACATCGCGAGATGCTTGGACATATGGGGCTGAGCTATCGCTCAATATAATGAGTGAAGGGACTTTTCAAATCTTGCTTGAACTAAACGGACCAAAAGCGATTGGCCATTGTGTACTAGGTTATAGGAAAACTGAACGCCTGGACAGCCTTCTTCTGGATATCAAAAACCTCGGTCCTGAACAGTGGGGCTCTCTAGGAAATGGGATTATAACCGCTGTCTTTTCACTCTTATACTACTGTATCATGGAATGCTACGAGCTCAATTGCTAGTTGCGGTTCTCCCGCAATTATAGGAACACAGAGCAGAATATATCCGAAGTTACATCTTTCCATGACGTCATCTTCGGCAAGCAATTGAACCAACTCAGCTTGAGGGACCTGACTCAGATTTCCAAAGCATTCCGTAATTTGATAACATTCGGGGAAACAGAAGATATCCCAACAATATTGTTTCTGTTTAAGTGGGCAAAGAATTTTTTTTTCAGGATAGAGCTTGCAAGGATGCGACAATACCACTCGAGTCTCGTGTTAATGCATGACGCTGGACATTATCGATTAGACGGGAGGAGAAAGGTGGCGTTACAGTCAACCTTTATCCCGTCAGCAATTGCTGGCCAACATAAAGTGGGGACTTTCCATCTCCACTGAACTGTCATCACTAGTGGCCGCCTCTTCCGGTCCCACCCTTGAAGGTGCATTAAAATGGTAGCTATCCTCCCTGAATTACAATCAAGTTAACCTCTCCCAGTATATTGCCTATCGCTTTCCCGCCTTTCTATATAAGGATGGAATGAGGCTTGTCAATTGTTGAATCGAAACACTTATACCCTGATCATGTCAAACCCAGAACTATCATATCTTTGTTTAATATGCAGTCAAGAATCACCTGGGCTCGCATTTTGCTCCGAAAAATGTCGATCTTTAGCCATCAACACAACGCGAAGTGCTTCGAATCCCAGTTCTCCTACAATTTCCTTAAGCAGGTCATTGTCTGACTTCTGCCAATTGCTCTCTTTATCAGAAGCAATCGATTTCGACCGCTGGATATCGAAACCCCGGGATACAAAGCCCAAACAGAACAATTCGCACAGTATTGATGGTGACTGTCCAGATCAGGCATTATATTGCAGAGCAAGCATTGTATGAACTCAAAGAATACGAACATTCTTTTGATCAGATTCGTCGGCAGAAGAGGCAAGTCAGTGCGTCGTTCCATTCAGGGTATTCATTTAATGAATGAGATTCACTGATCCTACAATAGCACAAGTCAATTTGAACCTACCCAACTGAGTGTAGGCTCGAATATAGGATGACAGCAAACTAGAGATTCTATGCCTAGACTATCTGCCCTGCATCGATCTGCATCGCCTTCTTACTTCTTAGCTTTTACCGTGGTTTCAGTGCGCCTGTGCAGGTTTCCTTGGTGGAGCCAGAAACAATCGGTTCCATATCTTGATATCGAGGAAAGGTCAAGCTTGAACCCTTGTCGTCGTATTTATGTTTGAGCGGAAGGCGCAAAAGAAACATTGATTTGGTACCTGGGTCGTGGTGCAGAAGACTGGTTTTGTATCACACCTGGACCCTACAATCACCTGTCTCCCATACAAAATCTAAAATCGAACATTCCCAAAGCAGCATGCTTTGACTTCAACAGATTCATCTCTGTAGTCCAGAAAAAACAGGCTCACTGTCGGAATGCTTCTAGCACTCATTACAAGGCATATAATGGCAAGGGTAAATTGGCTTTTCGGACCTACGCTTACTCGTACCAAACTAGAAATACAAGACCGTATCGAGAGCAACAACTGGTAGTTTGTTGGCATTATTCGTGGAAACTAGGAAGCATTGAGGCTCTACCTATTCAGATCCAAACATCAGGCAATCACAATGATGGTGACCACATTACAGAATCTGCACCCTACCCTCTCATCGCCCAATCTGTCAGTAAGAATCCAATCCAAATTCTATTCAACCCATTGAAAAACTCTAGGGGAATACAAATACACAATTTCGGAGCGTCTTCTCTGCAAATATTCCGCTTATTTCCCAACGATGTTTGGGGTACGTTTACAGAGGGATAACAACAGCCAGCAGCAAATGTGGAAGATTTGGACGACATTGTCGATGTGGGAAGTCTCAAAAAGCTCTTACAAAGGCTACATGCCCGCTGATTCAGTTTCAGTTTGGAAGATATCCGTGCCTCTCATACGCACCGAAAAATCCTCTACCGCGGTAAACGCAAGGTGATGGGGACATTGCTTCCAACGCAATGTTGAGTATGTCTCAATTTTCAATTTGTTGCCCGGTTTTTATTTGATCCCACTTAATAACGCAACTAAATCGAGCAGTTGGTTGCACTTCTCTTATCTTCCTGATAACAGCAGGATTTTCTGTTTTTTTAATTTTATTGTGAACTATTACCAATACACCCAACGAGTAAGCAGGATGAAATCAGTCACGTGCCCTTTTTAAAATCGCACTGAGATTTTCCTAGCTCTTCCTCTCCACATAACCGAATTTGTGAATGTGAATTTACACAGGGCATGGGTTTGTCGCGCCCGCTAAAACTTCGATTAGTATATTTTCTTGTATCTGTCAACAGGAGATTACATACGGCACTTTCGAGGCTTATCGTCTTCCTTGACCCATCCTTTTGGAGCGCTGTACCAGATTCCAGAATCGGCGTTTCTATGACTTTTGTTAGCAGGCCCAGCGGAAATTGACTGTGATTCAAAACTCACTGATACTTGCAAAAAGAGGTGAAAGTAGCGCCCAGAATAGACGTGCCATTCGAGGGGCTTGAGTCGCAAGGATACTTGTAGTATGGATAAGGATATTTGACTTCACAAACGTTCTGATTATCGTATTCATGGTGGTCATCGTCTCCATGGTATTTTTTGTAGCCCCAGTCGCTGCCTTTGTTTCTCTCCTCAAGGTATCCAACATCAGGCTCCGCACCAGGCATGGCTACGACTAGCTGCGAGGCGAGAGGAAGAAGAACAGCAAGAGTATAAGAAAGCGACTTCATATTGCACCGGAGGTTGATGATAAAAGTAGAAAGAGACAAAGTAACCGAATTTGATGTTATTAACTTGTAGAAACGAGAAAAGATGTTCCAGTGCCTCTTTCTACACGAACTATTGAACACTTTATATAAGACCTAGTGGCAAAACCCAGCGGGTATAAAACCTCTCTGCCATGGGACCTTGCTACGTAATACTAATTTCAAAACAAGTTGGTATAAAGGTCACCAATGCTACTGCTTCCGGCGAAGACAGAGCATCTAGACCGGCTCAAATTGCCATTATTTGACGTCAAAACTCAAATTCAGATAATAATGTATATCTAGAGAATGTGCCGGTCTGGTGGCGACAGCAGCAAACATTCAAATTACCAAAAAAAAAAGAGACTAAAACAAGTTGTATACCGGAAATTTGGTCATTAATGAATAAGCGCCATAGTTTCTGTCATTTTCTGGTGACAATCAATGTATCATCGTTTTGGCCACGTTATAATAAACATCAATCTCATTATCCGTTTCATAAAACAGGTCCTTCAAGTTCATGGATTTGTGGATTGAGATGATCAAACCCAAGAACTTATTGAAGATTGGCTTTATGCCAAGTAGAAAATAGTTAACCTTTTAACGAAAGCTAATTGGATCAGCTCTACCTGAAACCTTATTTCAAACGCTCTCCGGGACAATATGCTATTTGCTCGCGGGGGACTTCAACAACCACCATCCAACCTTGGTTTGTAGAGGATGCATAGTGAGCTTATTGGCCTTTCAAAGCTGCTCTGTATCTGACGTCAACTGCCGGGCTTCTAATGGAGGGAGAAAGAAAGACAGCTTTATAGGTCAGATAAATAAGCGACAAAGGTATATTAATTTCACATGCAGTACCTCATAAATACAGAGAGAATAGTATTCTTGGTAGCATTAATACATCCGTCCGTTTCCTCAAGAAGTTTTCTGCATCATTCAATTTGGCCGACACTTTCCCGGATTCACAAGAGGCTCAGTGCTTCTCACAGGACGTTTGATTTTTTCTGATGTCAGAAAATTGCTCGCTTTGAAGCCTCATATCGACGGTTTTCAAATCGTGTGTGTCCAGCAATTTATGAGGTGTTATCCGTCCGGACGGAGGAGTAACATCAGCGGAAGGTGGAGGTGGGTTGGTTGTAAATGAAGGTTTCTCAATAAGCACATGCGAAGCAAGAGCATTTGCAAGGGTGTGGGTGACCATCGGTATCTCCTACATGTTCGGATAGGCTCTTTTAATATTTTTCGTTTAGAGGCACAATATGCTCAGGCTGAGAGATCGGATGTGCGTATTAGATCGTTGAAAGTGAAGGGTTGAATCATCGATAAATTATGGCTGGACATCATTTAATTTTGTAATTGATTTCTCATCTGATTCCAAATATACAGCAACACCTCCAAGTTAATGAAAGACACGAGCAGGTGTCGATATCCATCGCAAGCCCATGGTCTCAAATTTACAAATACCCACCGTAGCCTGAGTGTCGGTCAGCCCCTAACAAGCTTGCTCGAGATCATTCAATGGAGTGAAGCTACAGCTATTTCTGGATGACACAAAACACTGGAGCTTGGATCGAGCTTGAAATAACAGCCGAACTCCTATTATCCTTCGGATGAAATTTTGTGGTAGATCGGGAATTAGAGTTTGGGGATCAACGGTTCACAAAGAGCGAAAGCGAGAGCGAGTGAGCCAAGATCTAGAACAATAGTGACGTTGTCATCTTTACAAACATTGCCTTGGGTGATGTTAGGGGAGGTGACATATGGGCATGCGGCATGGTCTACATGATCCAACGTTCTGTCCAATTTCCGTGGCTCACCACCCGGGCAGTGGATCCTGACAAATCCTATACTGAATATATCTGCATTGCCGTTTGAAGGAAGATGGATATAGTCCTATACAGGCTCTGGAAGATGTAAGTTACCCATCCGAACGCACCGGATTCCACACGCTCAACATGAACATACTCAACATGAACAAATATCTAATACTTCACAGCACAACAGAAATGTCGGAATGTTATTTATGCCACGTTGCATCCTGACCCGGGCCTGAGGATTACCACAAAAGAGAATCTGGGCTCCGAATGGGTCCTGGGACTTGCTGCTTGTGAGATTAGGAAGAAGGTGCTGTAATAATCATGTCATGTTTTGTTTCTGCCTCCCACTTTGGGATGAACTTACATTCCTCAGCAATTAGGAATGTTCTTGGCAGATCTCAGAGCATTTTCACAGCCCCGCGTATCTCCCAGGTACTCTTCATTCAGACGCCGACCGACGGTCTTTACATTCGCGGGGGCTCCGACTAGTCTCTCGGGAGAATCTGCCTATCATCAACTCAGACCAAAAATGTTCTCAAGGTGAAAACTCACTAGTAATTAATGCTTTCTGGATGTGGTCTGCTTTCCAGCGATATCGAGCTTGTATTGAGTTTGTTGAATTCGAAGGCATCCGCTCTGGAGAGAACCTTGCTAATATCATTGCGACGGTTTCAGAGGTTTAATATAATGATAACTAAGCTCAGCACGCTGAGGGTGATAATCCACGGGTCTATCAGTGATGGTTAAAATGCTGAGAACAACTTAAAGTTACCAATGCACATACAATGCACGCGTGAAATTCTATTGGTGGCTTCCACATAGTACAAAACGCACCGAATTGTACAAAGGCGGAAAAATGAGAAGAGGCCTGCCAAACTCAATATATAGTTGCGGCACTATCGTGATTTCAATGATTGCCGCATACTAGACCTCGCACCCGCCCGCGAGCGGCCCTCCGAGGGTAGCTCGCGGACCCACAATTTTGAGGGCGGAGGGCGGGCATCGCCCGCCCGCGGGTCGGGCGGGTCTTTTTTCCGCCCTCACCAAGCGGCCCTCTAAACATTTTGAGGGCCGACAAACAAGACAAACAGGCAAAAAACGTGACTTTTTTAATTACGCTATGTATGAACGCTGTTTATAGACCTTTTATATACGTAATATTTAATTTTCTTTCAATAGGTAGAATACATTAATATTTAAATTTATAAACTACTTTCAAATGAATTGTAGAACGCGTTATTTAGATAGTTTATAAATTACAGAATTTCACTCAGAAAGTGGTAGTTCTGCCGCATATCTCAAAAATATATATCCAATATCAAGATATGAGTTCTACATTTTTACGCGATTTCTCAATTTTCACGGATCGCATTTAGTTCAAAACTCAAAGATACACTTAGAAAATTTACTTGAATCTATGGTCTAATTTTGAACTTCATACGATGCGTGGAAGGTCATAATACAGCAATTACAAGAGGCTGGTTATGCGGGCGGATGAGGGCTGAGGGCCGGGCGAGGGCGGGCACCTACACGCCCTCCGCCCTCGCGGGTCGGGCGGAGGGCAGGCAATGCCCGCCCTCTAAATGTTTTTTGGCGAGGTCTACCGCATACAATACTATCGGGGACAGCTGCGTATTTGTTTGAGGGATTTGCCACACAATCACGTGTGGGGTTGTGCGTTATCGTTTGCGGCGGTACCCGCCAGCTTCCCTTTTAAGACCAGTGCTCGGCAATAGATAAGCACGCTTTAGTTACCCATCGTGTTGTATCGTCCGCACTGAGCGAAACCGAACGGCGTGACCAAGCCTCACCTCACGCGATAAAAAAAAAGTCGCCGCTGTCAGATGAGTCTGAGCTATCCCTGTAATCTAAAGCTAGGAAGTATTCTTGACAATCACACCGGAAGTATTCTCACCCGATATGATGGCGTGCTACTAGGCCCCACCTCTTTTGTGTCGAGCCACAAAAAAACAACCAGGTGAAGAAACGTATCGATGGTTTGTTGGCTTTGGAGCAAGTCCTCCGTTTTCTTTTCTTCTTCTTCTTCTTCTTCTTTGTTTTTGAAGCGGAACCAATCTTTGTTGTCAGTTATCGCTCACGTGGCGATGACTACGTAGAAGACACCTTGCGGAGTGGACACATCTTCGGAAATGAAGCATTCAAGCAGGTCATTGTGACCAAAGAAATATACTATCCAATTTTTTTACATCACTTTTGGAGGTATCGTACAAGCAAATCTGCATACTGGACAGCACGCTCGACGCCATAGTAACCACTTGTCCACACAGTCAACATGGAAAGCATGGTCACAGGGAAGGCCCCGAACTTTGATCTCATCTTCCATGGTATCTAGGCATATGGCGCATGCATCACCGGAAACCGTTATTCCTACCGGCCAACCTGGAGATAAAGCACTCTGTGTAGTCTGACAACTACTTTCAAGGGCTTCCGGGGTAAGAGATGATTCGAAATGTCTGTCCTTTATCAGAACTTCCTCAGAAATCTTTACTTGACCTTAAACACCTGCATTCAATTTAGACAAATGCACTGGGTCTTCAGTGGGAGACTGGGGAAGTAGCGCTGATAAATTAGGGTCCGACAAGGTCTTCTGAGCTTCAGTCGCAGCTTGAGGGGAGCTCATTCTATGTCACTCATTAGCACAAGCCTGCATCGCAGGCAAATACAATGTTTACATGGCACCTTTGTTCGTATTGTTGGCTCTTCCATATTTTGTATTCGACCATAGGTAGGTATTTGTTGAGGTCCTCTACGGTCGGAAGTGTCTCCTGCAGTTTGGACTGGTTTGCCTGCAGCTGGAAAAAGCTAGGATAAACTGCCGCAGGATTTCCTTCTGTGGAACGTCTTCGGATGCAACAGAACCAACGAGTAAAGGCAGCGAGACTGGATAAATAGACAGGTTACTTTGACTCTTTTAAGGCCCGTTGATAATGTCTGGTGAATACTCACCATAGACCGATGATCAAGGCAGCGCATATGACTGCGGTGACAGCAGGGGAGGCTGTTGGGCCAGATGGAGTCGCTGACATATTTTCCTGTCACTTTATATAAAACAAAAGCTGGTCGGCATTGTAATCTCACAGAAGTCGAACTTGAATATATACGTATTCCCTTGACTTGCCTGGCGGGAAACAATCATTTGATCCAAGAAGCGGGATTTTTTTGCGCCATACAGATCCATCATGATTATCATATTTCTACTACTGTAACGTTAATAAGACCTAAGACATGTTTACGTAGGTGGATTGATTCCCTTAGAATGGTAACACTCACGTGCGGGGCTGCTTTTGTGGATTAGTGACCCAAAAGAAGTTCATGCCGTACAAAGCCCATCAAGACGGTTGGCTAAGAGGACATAATATATTTTTGACAAACACAGGTTCGATTGCAATATCAATGGAGCTGAGCTTAATCTACCAATTTCACGAGAACTTGGTATATTCGTATCACTCCCACGCTATATGTCTTAGCGCCCTACCCGCCTACCTTCTTAATAGTTGACCAATCTTCGTCAACATCGTCTTAAAAAAGCGAGTCATTGTGTCTACCTCGTTGGCCCTCTGCTACGTCGACACTGTCACTAGCGAGTCCCTTGATATCTCTTTGTCCCGCTGGGATGGAAGGCTTCGCAAGGCCGAGAAAAAGAAGTTATCTACCAGACAATCCGTGCTATGAGAGTTACACTTCGGCCAATGATATCACTAGAATATTAAAAATAAAATCCAGGCAGCTGATTTAACAGTAAGGAGTAAAGTTTTCTATGTGATGCTCAGCCTCGCTGTTTGATCTCGAAAAGCGCGCTAGCCACGGAAGCGAGTTAGCCAAGCCGCAAGCAGCGACCCAGGGCCAAACTTGATTTGCCTAGCAAATCCCTCTCATTCAAATTCTATTATCGCTCTAGTTTATGCTGTATGCGGTAATTTTTGAAAATGCGATAAGCCTGCGACTATATAATGGAATTTGGCAGGCACCTTAGAATCCTCCCTGAAACAATCCTGCGAGTTTTGTGCCATGTGGAAGCCACCGATAAACTTTCTCGCCCTGCATTGTATGTCTGTCCATCGGCATTTACACAATATCCCCTTCTAATTCTTCGCAGACGCGTGGATTATCACCCTCAGCGTTCTGAGCTTGGTTATCATTTATCCTTATGGTAATCTGAAAGCTGCCGATGCTTATTTTTTCGGAGCCAGCGCGTCGACTGAGTCGGGTCTAAATACGTGAGTTTTTATTTTTTATTTTTTTTCCGTTCTTATAAGTGGGCTAAACAAAGACTTTGCATGGGTGTCAAGTGTCGACGTCAAATCTTTGAAGACCTACCAACAAGTGTACCTATACCTCATTCCGATCCTAGGAAATTTGGGATTCGTCAACATAATCGTAATTGTATTTCGGGTTCGATGGTTTGAAAAGCGCCTCAAAGCAATCGGTTAGAAGTCTTCCACCCCCTACCCCCCTACTCAACGCCATCATCGAGAACTAACTTGCTTCGCCAAAATATAGCCCCGCATCTTTTGAGGCCAGATGCTCCCCCTGAAAAAGACGCAGAGGCACAGTTGAAGCACAAAAGAAGTTTGAGTAGCAATGATGATGAAGCCCCAAACGATAAATTTAGCAGCCACGAAATAGACGACTCGGATAAAGAAAAGGCGCGTGTTGAGACTCGGGGCAAATCTTCGAGGTTGGTTTTGATTCTATCGATCAACATAACAGACTCTCAAACGTAACGGGTACTAAGTCATACACCAGGGTTTCCCTGGAATTGAACGATGCGATAGCCGATGACACAGCGGTTTCGAATATCAATCCGACAAAGCAAATCATTACATTCGCTGAAGACAATCGGCCGTCTTCTGACAAGGATAAAGCTCTGTATATTCCGCCTCCGTGGAAACGTGAAAGAGGTACATACAAATCAGGCTCATATCTTCCTCCGTTTCTCACGAATACTATACAGGTGCCTCGTTTTCTGAGATTGATGAAAGGCTTCATGATGAAGATGATGGTAAGTCCTGATAAGGTGGCGCCTAAACGTAACTCCAAGTCAATCGCTTCACTAACTTGGCTCATAAAAGGACGAACCGAGAAAGTCCTTAGTCGTCGACCGACTACTCGAAGCATACAGTCTCGTACTCACACCCTTGAGCGAGTTGTAACCTCCATGTTTATTTTGGGAGGCTCTCCTAGCTCTGACCGAGGGATGCCGACCACAAAGCGGAGGGACATAAAGCAGCTCGATTTGCCGAATATGTCTTCACAAGCTACAATAGGCCGGAACTCTCAGTTCCATAATCTGTCTGCCAAAGATCGGGAAACACTCGGCGGTATCGAGTATCGAAGCTTGAAGCTCCTGTTGAAAATTGTCGTTGGATATTTCTTTGGTCTGCATCTCTTCGGTGCAATCTGCCTTGTGGGGTGGATTCTGCACGCGGATCCGAAATACCGTGACTACCTTTCTGAATGTGGGCAAGGCAATGTTTGGTGGTAAGTCGGCTCCGTCAACTATAATCAACGATATAGTGGCTTATTTCGTTTACCGCGCGATAGGGGCTTTTACTCCGCTCAGACGATGATTGACAATCTTGGCTTTACTCTAACGCCAGATTCGATGATTTCGTTTCAAGATGCGACCTTCCCAATGATCCTTATGAGTTTCCTTGCATTTTCCGGGAACACTTGTTATCCGTGCCTTCTTCGACTTATTATCTGGATTTTCTACAAGTTTTGCCCGGCTAAATCCTCACTTAAAGATCCACTCAGATTCCTGCTCGATCATCCGCGACGGTGTTATACGCTGCTTTTCCCAAGTGGGCCGACGTGGATTCTCTTCGGAATCTTATTCCTTATGAACTCGATCGATGTTATTCTCATTATTGCGCTGGACTTGAACAATCCCGCCGTGAATAATCTTGCACCTGGTCCTCGAGTTCTCGCTGCTATTTTCCAAGCCGCATCGTCGCGTCATACGGGTACATCGACTTTCAACTTGGCTGATGTGAGCCCAGCCGTCCAATTCAGTTTGGTGGTCATGATGTATATTGCAATTTTTCCGATTGCGATTAGCATCAGAGCTTCCAATGTTTATGAAGAAAAGTCGCTGGGTGTGTATACCACTGACGGTAACATGGACGAGCATAATGGCCGGTCTTACATTATCAATCATATTCAGAACCAACTGACCTTTGACTTGTGGTACATTTTCCTCGGCAGCTTTTGCATCTGCGTCGCCGAGGCCGGTAAGATCGCAGATACGTCAATTCCAGTAAGTGATTGATCTCGAATTTTGCGATAATAAAATTTAACCAATTCAGGCCTTTTCTGTATTTTCTGTGTTATTCGAAGTTGTCTCGGCATAGTGAGTTATCCATGCGGTATTTACTCCCTTTGTGTTGACTAATTTCGATGAAGTGGCAATGTTGGACTTAGTCTTGGGTATCCAACCGTTTCTACATCTCTATCTGGAAAGTTTACCGTTTTCAGCAAGCTTGTCGTTTGTGTGATGATGATCCGAGGCCGTCACCGTGGATTGCCCTACAAGCTCGACCGTGCCATTGTTCTCCCAGGCGAACGCCTAGAAGAAGATCACCCAGATAGGGATAAGGTTCAAACCAAGTTTGACTGAAGGAAGTCTCATGAGTCTTGCTGGCAGATTTCTGTATGACAATGTTGTGCTATTATAACAGGCTGTTATAATAGGAATCTTTCGACTATTATATAAGAATTTGGGGACTGATAAAGGGCTTGAAGTTGGCTTCATTTGGGACGAGGATACGACGCGCTCGTCTGTACATCGCATCCACTCGGAAGAGCGGAAGCAAAAAAGCGAGCAAAGGGACGACCAGCCCGTGTCTCGCCTTCGCTGTGTCAGTCGAAGAGACTGAAAAATTGATATAGGTTTATTTGAAATTATTGGTGTATAACATCAAATGTGTTCTAGTATGACAATAATGGTTCCAGGAAACTAGTCTTATGGCCCGAGAGGGTCGAGGGCCAAATCGCATTGTTACGGACATGCTAGTCGCCAATCCCATGTGGGGATCTCAACTACTGACGGGCGGTTGAGAACCAACCGATCTATCTGTCATCGAGGTCACGTGCCACATATACCCAGTCACTAGACCTCGCCAAACGCGGGTTTGGGTTGGGTTTTCAATTTCCTTACCCGCCCATGGGCAACCCACCGCGGGTTTTGGCCTTGATGAACCCGCCCATGGGCTCTTGGCGGGTACCCGCGGGTTGCCCAAAATACCCAAAAACATGCATAAATCGTGGATAAACTTGATTAGTCATCTGGTGTAATTTTGGTCATTTATTTCTGTAACGCTTTTGAGTGGATATTACACTGAAACTATGAACGCCATCGACCTGGAAATATATATTCTCTAAATGTAGATCACTGCCCCCATCGCCCTGCTTTACACATCTGAAGGGATTACAGGCCACATTGATGATTTTATGTAAATTCATCAATTGAGAATCTTTCGAGTGAGCTCAAAAATATTATCCTTAGTTCGATCATTTAAAATCAGTGTTTTGGACCTTCTCAGTGTCCTCCCAAAGTCGTATTCATCTCCGGGCGGGTTGGGTTGGGTTGGGTTTTGGGTACCCGCGGGTTTTACGCGACTCAGGAATAGATAGATCCAAACGCACGACGCGACTGGAACAAAATCCACAATCAAGTACTCAAGATGAAAAAAATCCCCCCTTCTTCCAATACCAGTGGCCTTTTACTTCAGTATGGCGTCTTCTTCCTCATCATCGCGATCAATACATCGGCCTTTCAGTCCACTGCTCTCCATTGAGCCGTCATCTGACGGCTTCTTGGATTCTGACATTCAATCCCCCGTAAGAAAATGGTCCTTTCCACTAGCCTCTGAGTGTTGCGGCGCTACCTACTTGTATACTAAGATGGACCGCAGCCTTTGACAGGACCCCGCAAAACGTACGACATAACTACTCGAAGACCTCCAGCGACACTCCGACGTGTGGGACCTCAGCACAGAAAGAAATGGATTGCGTACGAGTCGCATCTAGAGACAGAGTTTCTTGAATGGTGGAAGGAAACAGAATACGGCCAAAAGCTGAACGGAGAAGGCCAATCCCAGATCAAATGGTCCACCGGATCGCGTCACGCTGATGTGTGGAAACACTTTGACCAGGTGGCTGATATTGATTCTGGGCGTCCTCGAGTCATCTGCCAGGCTTGTCTCACTGTGCTTGATCATCCACAGTATAAAGGGAATGGGACAAGCGCCATGAGTAGACACAAAAAGTCTAATACTTGTCGTAAAGGGAAGAAAAAGGGATTTAATCAGTCATTGATTTCGGATTCTTTGCAGAACCATTTCACGAGAGACTCACCCAGTGTCCACAGAGTGACAACATTTCAAATCGAGGAGCAGATATTGAAGACAATTACGTGTCTTCGTTTGCCTTTCCAGACGGTGGAGAACCCGGTGTTTCAGAGGCTACTCAGCCTTTTATATTCTGGTCCCGGAGAATTGGAACTTCCGTCAGCGAAGACCCTGCGGAGGCGGCTCCGGGATGCAGTCAATTGCCAGCAAGAGTTACAGTTACAAGATCTGCCTGAAGATGCCAAGGTTTCCCTCGCTTTAGATTGTTGGACCAGTCCATTTCAGCAGGCATTCATGGCAATCACGGTTTATTTCATCGACAAAGATTGGAACTATAGGGAAATGCTCCTCGGCTTTGAGCCGTTGCACGGTCCTCATACAGGCAACAACCTTAGTGATGTTTTGCACCGGTTACTGGAGGAACGAAAACTTCTCGATCGTATTTTTAGCGTTACTACAGACAACGCTACCAACAACGACACCATGATACGCGCCTTGCAAGAGAGACTGCTCTCTATCGGAGCTATTAGCTCCAGGGAATCAATAGTCCGGGTTCCCTGCATGGCTCATGTGATCCAGCTTTGCCTGAAACAGCTACTGGGACATATCAGGGCAGCACCTAAGAATAAAGAAGTCAGAGCCTTTTGGTCCGACACCCAAGCCCACGGGTTGAAGGATTCGATCAACTATGGAGACGTGGCTCATACACTGACAAAGGTGAGCCAAGATATTCACTTTTTCAATATACTCAGAGCACTGACAGCATTAGATTCGATCCTTTGCGATCTTTGTCAACGCAAGCCCACAACGGCGTGATGCTTTTTTATGCCTCCAATCAGGTGGTACTCGGCTTTTTCCGTTACATGACGTTCAGACACGCTGGAATTCAACTTTTTTGATGCTTCGCCGAGCACGCCGGCTGAGAAATGTAATCGACAAATACTGCTGCGATCATGAATACTCGCAGCTCAAGGTTACCGACGTTGAATGGAGGCAAATTGACTACCTCGTTCATTTGACCAAACCGTTTTTTCAGTTCACCATGGCTCTGATGAAGACCAGAGACGTCACAATCCATAGTGTGTTCCTTGTGTATAGGAAACTACTGGAGCATATCGAACGGTCGAATCGAAGATTGAAGAGAAAGACAACACCCTGGAAGAAAGACATGTATGGCGCGTTGCTTGTGGCGAGGCAGAAGCTGAAAGAGTACTACGAAAAAACCTACCGCGACCACGGTTTTCTCTATGGCACTGGAACATTACTTGCCCCTCAGTATAAACTGAGTGCTTTTGATGATCGAGAGTACTCAACTTGCCATGAAGATACGTCAAAAAGGTACTGTGAATATTTGAGAGCATCTTTCACACAGTATCAGCAGCAGAACCCCGAGTTGCTATTCCGTACGGTCCAGCGATCTTCCAATTCGCATAGCACAGAGCTTGATCGGCTACTCGAGCCACCTGGTGCAGCGATTTTCCATGAAGGAGTAGAGTATGACGAAGTGGACCAGTATCTTCGCGAAGGCACGAGCAATCAGTACAACACACTAGAACAACTGACTGACCTCGAATAGCCAATGTCCCTGTGTCGCCGCGACTTTATTGGAAAGAACACGAGCGCGAATTCCCAGTGCTGTCTCGGCTCGCACGAGACTTGCTTTCAGTCCCTGCCACCGGCGCGGGTGTAGAAAGGCTCTTCAATAGCGCACGAGACATTTGTCATTATCGCCGAGGGTCTCTTCACGAAGGGACTATTCAAGACTTGATGATGTACATGTGCTCAGAAAAGCTCACACTAGAGGGACAGCAATTGATTCGTCTGGAGAAACCGTTGGAGAGCGAGAGCCAAGAGGCACTTGAAGAGGATGAAGCGTTGAAGGCAATCGAAGAGGATGCAGAGCCGATCAGCGACAATGAGGAGATTGAAGAGAGCGAGAATCTCGAGGGTAACTCTGAGCCAGAGGGGACATACCAAGTGGAGTGTACGGTGGTAGAGACCGGCCGGAGCTCTATACACAGACATATTCACGAACCTGAACAAGAAGAAGAGAGTATGGAGGAAGACGTGGTTGATTACGACGAAGCAGATTTACTTCCGCCTCCAATCATGCAATTGAGTGATAGAAGCCAGAAGAGATCTTCTGGTCGGGTAACAATGCCCTCCAGCAGACTGCGAGGTTACGAGGTATACTAGTCTTTAATAATTAGCCAATTTGATTTTTACAAGCCCTTCATGTTCCTTTCCAAATATTCTCAGCTAGAAGCTAGTAGTTACGCCATCGAAACAATTAGATAATCGAAAATTACTGCATAACTTAGTGTAAAATGATCAGTCAGCTTTTTTTGCTTTTTTGGGTAATCGCGGGTACCCATTTGGGTCTTGGGTTGGGTTTCCCGGATGACAACCCGCCCCCGGGTTTGCTGACTAAGACCCAACCCGGCCCATGGGCTGGGTTTTCGCGGGCGGGTTTGGGCGGTGGGCGGGTTTTGGCGAGGCCTACCAGTCACCCTCGGGCTTTAGGGAAAAGAGAAACCACGATCATGCTCAGTGAGCAAGAGCATGATCTGCCCTGACCAGGACCCACCGGCAGGAGTTTTTCAGTATGTATGTACCAAATTTTCTTCCCTGGCGGATGGGGATTTCCTGCTTGGGATGCCGCCGCTTTAATGAGGGCGCTCAGACTCAGGCTCACAGGTAGATTTCAGCACGAGCTCAGAGTCAGTAGTGAGCTCAATGTTCCCGAGCAGTCGTGGGGCTTTTCTGAGTCAGAGGAAGTGAGGCACTAACTAACAACTCTGATTATCTGGCATGCCTGCCCTACATGTCACTGCTTCAAATTCCCTCTCTTCTAAGGCTACCCACCCCCTTATATCAATCATTTCTACGATTTACCCAACGCAAGTTCTCTCCTCTTACTTGTTTGTATTCTTAGTAAAGTCCCAGAAATGGAGTTTGATCGAACCAAGTACATATTTGGCGCATGAGAAAGCAACCCCTGGGGGCAATGCACTCCTTGAGGCCAATCTGCCCACAATCCGTTGCAATACCTCCTCCAGAATCTCCCTTCTCCTCCACATACCCGCCATTTCCATGAACTGATGTTCCGTTTTCCAGTAAGTGGTTTCCCATGATACGTGCGTGCTAAGACAGTGTTTGTTCCCCAGCCCCGGTTGATGTCGGGCCAAGGAAAGCATATGTTAGGGCTGCTCCGGGATCTGTTCCAAGGGGGTCAAGTGCGGGCTCTTTCTCGCTCTGCGACGAAAGAAGACTCGCTTAGCCCATTTCCAGGCTTCGACTCCGATAAAGAACAGAACAGCCTCGACCGCCACGATACCCCATTCCCAAGTGATAGGTTTATGTTTGAAGACGACATCGTTCAAAACAGGGATGTAGAGAATAGGGAACATGGTGATCCATCCGGCCATGATGGACCAGAAGAGGAACTTGTTCCGCCAGACGTCGTACATCCACTGGGTAAAGTATTTCTTGGATTTTGGCTGCATGCGGAAGAACGAGCGGCGCAAGTTGACCATTTCCCAAGCCAGGAACAGCGCAAACCAAGTCAAGCACACGAACGTGGTGGCGCGTGCTCGGAAGACTAGTTCGCAGTCTTTGATCTCTTCTGACCACTCCTTGTTGCAGCCACGGGCCAGGTTACCGTCGCCGAATCCCCACATGCGGACAGAGAATGCCGCCAGGCAGAGGGCTGCGGTCCAGATACCATACACCAGAATGTCGATGATCACCTCCCAGGTAAAAATGCCTTGCTTGCTCTGAGGAGGACGGCTCATGATGTCAGGAGCGGCCACCTCCATCCCAAGACCCATGTCGGGCATACCCGAGGTAATCATAATGATCCAAAGAATTTCGACCGGTGACAGAGGAAAGACGGATTGATTATCAGCGTCTTTGAAAGCCAATCCGATAAGCAAGGTACATGCCTGAGCGATGTTTTCCGACAACAGATGAAGCACAAACTTCTGAATATTATCGAAGATACGACGGCCTTCTTCGACGGCATTCAGAATCGAGGCGAAGTTGTCATCCGTGAGGATGATATCAGACGCGTCTTTAGCCACGTCTGAACCTGCCTGTCCCATAGCGATACCAACATCGGCGTGCTTAAGCGACGGAGAATCATTCACTCCGTCTCCAGTCATAGCTGCAAACCGGCCACGGCGGTGAAGAGCGTCAATCATACGGACCTTGGTCTGCGGGGCGCAGCGTGCAATAACCAAAGGCAGAGTGGGAAGTGCATCTACCTCTCCATCAGTGAGTTTATCGAATTGACTAGCAGTCATAACCATAGCGTCCGCGACGTCGGCCGCCACCGCATTGAAATCAGCAGGAAGTATTCCCACTTGCTGAGCAATTGCTTTGGCAGTGCCAGGATGATCGCCAGTGACCATGTGGACAACGATACCAGCCTGGTAGCAGGCTTGGATTGAGCCAGCTGTCTCAGGGCGCGGAGGATCATACAAGCCGATAAGTCCTAGGAAGCACAGATTGCTCTCCACGTCTTCACGGTTCAGGTCGGCATCTTCGAGCAATTGTGCCTCGGCAGTGTACGGGCGATGGGCTAGAGCCAAAACCCGAAGTCCGAGTTTGGCGAGCTCCTCCATGTTCTCGATGATCTTTTCGCGGTGGTGGTCGGTTATTGGCACGGGGCTAGAAGAATCTTGGTCCCAGATAATAGACGTGCACGAGTCTGCGATGCGCTCGACCGCACCCTTGGTCAACACCATAGTCCGGTTCTCCTCTGGGGTGATTTTGTTGAAAATCACAGACATCTTCTTCACAGTCGAGTCGAATGGGAATTCAGCTTTTTGGTGCCACACTGTGCCCTCACCCTGACCCTTCTTGATCCAGCGGTCGCGGTTCCAGTTGAATCTCGATGCAAAGACATGGATAGCAATTTCGGTGGGTTCACCCCGTGCGTTCCATTCGCCTTCTTCGGACTTATACACGTGAGAGAGATTGGCCATCGAGGCAACATCCAGGAAGTCTTCGAGCTGGCGGTTTCCTGAGACCATACCTTCTGCGTTCTCCGTCGTATCTGGCTTCTCATAATCAAATTCCGAAGGAGGCACAGGTTTGAAGCTGACATCTCCAACGGTGGGATTGAAAGGCTCGTTAGATGGGCCGACGGAGTACGTTCCTCGAGACGGGATCCATGCCTTTTGGACAACCATTTTACCTTGAGTCAATGTACCGGTCTTATCGGAACAAATATCTGTGACGGCACCGAGCGCCTCCAGCGAGTCCAATTTGCGAACAATTACGTTCCGCTCGACCATACGTTTAGTACCCACTGCCATAGTGATGGTAAGAACAACGACAAGGCAAGCCGGAATCATACTGATACCGGTTGCAACAGCGTACATGATGACTTCGTTATTGCTGCTGAATTCGTTTGCAGCCATACAGACAATGGCAAACACGACAGCAATTCCGAATAGTAGACAGGCCAGCTTTGAGAGTTTCCTCTGCAAGGGTGTTCCGATATTGACACCGAGGAATCGACCGACGACATCCACGGAGGTAAGACTCCAGGCCTGGACGTACCAACGCTTCTTGGTTTCGCCGTTAGGACCACGCTTGACCTGACGACGCTTGTTGCCGCTGGCCCGTAGTGCGAGGGCGATAGATCCGATTTCAGTGAACATGCCTGTACTAACAACCACACCACGACCACGACCACGAGTGACGGTGCTAGAACTGTAGGCAATGTTAAGGCGGTCTCCAGGGCCAGTATCCTCCTTGAATGTCGAGTCGCATTCCTTCTGGACGGGAAGAGACTCGCCAGTCAGGAGAGCCTCGTCGGTCTCGAAGTTGACTGCTTCAACCAGGCTGATATGTGTTAGCAAATCGTCCGACAACTGTCTTAGTGGCTTGAAATCGCAGTTGCACGATGATAGGAAACTCACCGAATATCCGCTGGGACAGTATCTCCCGTCCTAAGCTCGACCATGTCACCGGGGACGATGTCCGACGACGGCACCGAGAATGTCTGTCCACCCCTCGAGACAGTTCCGGTCGGGGATGAGAGCGAATGCAACGACTCCATAGTTTTCTCGGCGGCATATTCCTGGAAGAATCCAACGACGATATTCAAGACAATGACAGCGCAGATGACTCCGCCCTCAATCCACGACCGAATCCCGAAGCTGACCGCCATAGCCAGAATCAACACCTATCACCCACTGTATTAGAATGAGCCTGAGAGACTTTCGCGGTATTAACACGAATAATAGATAGAGGGGGGTCTTACTAGCATCATCGCGTTGGCAACCTGGCGCACGAAAATCTTGATCACCGACACGCCTTCGCCTTCATCCAGTTTGTTGGGTCCATATTCCTGCAGACGACGACTAGCTTCCTCGGGGGATAGACCTTCGTCCACCTCGGTTCCGAGTTTCTTGATCACGGCTTCATAAGGGAGGGTGTGAGCTGGCTGGCTCAGTGGGCTGGCGCCCGACCCAGAGATGGGGGGCACGTCGTGCTTCTCGTCTGGCATTGGAGGTTACTCTCAGGTGAGTAATTATATGTTGGTGATGACTACTGAGCTGTTTGCTCGTCCGACTCCTTTGTTCGGGGTCAATCACCGGATAGTTGGATAAAAGTGTAGCTCTCAGAGTGGGGAGGGATGTGGGACTTTGGTTTTCAAGCGAATGTTTAGATCAGAATCTGATCGCGTGAGAAACACAGTGTGTGGTGATCCCCAGCCTTGGCCTTTGACTTCTAAAGTTTGATCCCCAGGGTAGAGACGCACGTTGCACAATTCATTGGAAGAGAAGCAATGGTAGTCTTGGCGGCAAGAGATTAGCCAGCCACCTCGTGCTTGATAGGCACCGGTTAGTAGTGGGGTTCCTCTAAACGGAATTGAGCGGGGCCTAGAATGCCAGCAATCACTGCATATGAGACCGTGTCTGCAAGCGCGCAACCGCCAAGATCTGACAGGGCAAAATTGTCAAGTTCCAGGATGTTGCGGTTGCGGAATATTCCTTCTGACCACTTTACAGAGTTCTCCATTAGAGTGCAGTGGGTTTGCCTCAATTGAAATATGGGTATTTTATTTATCTAATTGTCGATTAGATGACACCAAGGGACTTTTCATGGGAGTGGCAAATCTCCGCGAGGAAGAGCACACCTTGGCGCCAAGAGTTAGTGACAAATCCCTTGGCAGGAGGAGGAAGCCGTGGGGAAATACTTCGTTGTCGGCCTTTATCTCCGGACAGCTTCTATATTCACATGGACTTTGATGTCCGATCTCTTTGGTCTAATTTATTAGGGTGAACCGAGACTCCCCACAATGCTACAAATAAAACTAAAGATCAACTTTTACATGAAAAAAGCTGTCAAAAATTGGACCATTTCCCTTGGAAGACTAAATTATTCATGACTAATGTTTGTAAAGAGTTATCCGGTTATTAGGGCTTATCATAAAAGTCGTATTTGGCTGGGGTCTGTTCGCATGCAATGTGATATGATAGACAATCGCACTCGTATTCAAAAAATGAGTGCCAAGAGAGACTTCCCCTGAAAGAGATTAGATCACCATGCCAACTGTGCAATCATGATGCGAAGTCCAAGTAATCAATAATCTTTTTCCTTTTTCTAAAACACACCAATTTAATCTCTCAATAATGTTCATTTGAATTCTCATCATTACCTGAAAGATCGACACTCCTCTTGCGAGTCGTGGCAATTCCGATACGAACTCATATGCAGAAGTTTGTGACGAACTGAGGGAGTGGTCAAATACCACTAATTGTGACTAAGCTCTCGACCCACACGCGGACGCGTGTGGGTAAGCCAACACCTATTAACAAACCAATACCTGTTAACAAAAAATTCAACTATCAACTTTTGATCCTACATTTTACCCCCAAAACAATGCCAATTTCCTCCGAAAAAGAAGAGACTCTCCTCTTAAATGCTTTAGAAGCCTATAAATCAGGTCAATTTAAATCGACTCAGTCCGCAGCCGCTCATTATGGCGTCTCAAAGTGGAAGCTTCGGAACCGAAAAGATGGCAGGACGAATGGAAAAGGGCGTACAGCAACCAGAAAAGTCCTAAATCAATTGCAAGAACACTCGCTGATTCGCTGGATCGAGCTACTTAATTCTGTCTATACTCCGCCGACTCCCTTAGATATCGAGGGAGCTGCAAATCGCATTTTAAGGTATTGCGGTTCCGACCGGGAAGTCAGCAAAATGATGGTTACCAATTCATTGCACGCCTACCACCACACATTACCCTCCGTACTCAAATACCTATTGACAAAGCGAGACTCGAAGCCGAATTCCACGGTGAATTAATTCATTAGTACGAGATCTTCGGCGAGTTCCTTCGAAAAAACAAGATCCAGGCCAATGAACTATATAACTGGGATGAGACTGGGTTCCAACTGGGTATTGGATCTAAGGAAAAGGTAGTTTCCACCCGCGGACAAGAGGCTATTGGGATCTGCATTCGCTGATTGTCGCAAAAGGTCAGCTAGAGAAGGCGGAGGCCGACTGGTTCTTCAAACAGCTTATGCGTGGTGCCAACTACCTTCATGAAATGGGCATCGCTCATCGCGACCTGAAGCCGGAGAATCTTTTTCTCACCTCAAACGGTTGCCTCAAGGTATCGGATTTTGGAGACACTGAATGCTTCCGTTTAGCTTGGGAGACGGATATACATATGTCAAAAACACGTCGCGGTTCACGCCCTTATGTGTCGCCGGAACCGTATCTCGATCAGGAATTTGATCCAAGTTCAGTCGACATCTGGGCTGCAGCTATGACATACCTTGTGATGAGAACAGGTAGGATTCCATGGAAGATAGCGACCGATCAAGATGAGTCTTTTCGAGACTACGTCGCGCCGAACTTCCACCGCGCGTGGCTCGTCGCTCTCAGCACCCGGCCGAAGGTCCGAGGCGCGAGGTACCCCATCTTTCCAAGGGGGATGCTGAGCCCATGAACGACCTGATGCAGCGTTAGATAAAAATTCAATTATGGAGGTATGGATATTGCGACTGACAATGCTACAGACTGCGAGGAACCAGACGACGACCCGAATTGTTTCGGCAAGATGTTTGACGTCGCTTCGGGGAACACCATCCTCGTTACTCAAATGTTCTTTATGAAATCCATCCGCACAATTTTGTTTCTGGTAGTGAGCAGCGATTTTGGAAATGAAGTCTCTCAAAATAACACTTCGGACAAATTAACACCTTCCCCGCTTTTCTTTATTGGGTAAGTCTCACGCTGAATAAAACTTGCGCTAAGTTGTTACTTTGAATGTTACAGTATATCGAAATTTTTGGAAGCCCAGTCCTCATACATCACGTAACATGGGATGAAGGACTGCCTCGCTTTTACGCCCAAAGGACTCTTCCTTGGTCTTCTCGGTAGAGACACACGCAGTTTTGCCTCAACACCGTCCATGAAATCGAGTTCTGGCGTTGGAGAAATAGAGGCAGAGGAGCTCTGCCCTCTCCCTACATTGAAGCTGCCAGCCTCCAACAGCACGGAGATGAGGCGACGCAAGCTTCCAAGGATACGAACCATCTTCACCCAGGCGACATTGACATCCTGCTGGGCTGCTTCCAAGTTGGGCTCGGGTGAAGTGCTAGAGTGCCGCACGGACAGGCTCCCCGAGATGTGGAGAGCGAGATGCGCCTTGATGTAAGAGCGTTTACCGCCATAATTGCTATCCTGCAGGATGCCCATGTAGCTCTCGGTAGCAGCTCGCTTGGCCGGTTTGCCACGTTGCAAAATGCCGCCGGTGTAGCGGCGACGGTCGTAGTGGTCGTGTGGTCCGTGCTCTACTTGGCGCGGTCGGGTGGCTTGCAAGAATCTTGTCGGCGACAGTGGCCGACGGCAGACAAGGGTGAATGTCACCGCTGCTCTCGTGAAGGGGTGACACGCGTTGGACGTGGTGCATGGAGATCGGAGAGCGTTGCGAGATATATGACTGTGCGCTGGAGGGTGAGGTCAAAACAGAAGTACGGACGAACGGGGAGGCCGAAGCGGCCATCATGGGGGCCTGGGAGCTCACTGTAACGTGGCTTGCCGGGAGCTGGGTCGGAGGAGAGTGGATAGCACGATAAGTCAGGCCACCGTGTACGCTGTGAAGACCGGCCAGGGTGAAACCAGCAGCAGCTATGGTCTCAGAACTGTCGTAAATGGTGTTCTGCATTTGTTCGAGGAACTGATCGATGGTGATCAGGAAGTTCTTAGTCCGAACACTGGACATAGGAGTAAGGTGACAGCCAGGAGCTTGGGAACCACTAAGTCTGTAACCGCCGCCGTCGTCGACAGCGACAGACGCAGGCATATGCTCGTATTCACTCAAATGGCCATTCAAAATGGGAAGCTGAAAAGTCTGCAGTCCCAGCAGACGCTGGCCGACCGCAGCATAGGAGTTAGGGTTGAACTGGTTCAAGTCGCCAAAGAACTCGTTCAGTGCATCGTAGCCACGCTTTCGGCCGTAGTCATGGCTTCCATCTTGTCTATGGTCCAAGGTAGAGCATACGTTACCGTAGGAATGCGGGTTTGCGGGATGAAGGTGAGTGTGTGGCTGGTAGTCCTGCGGTGCTCCATGTGTATATCCGCCATTGACGGCATTGAGAGGGCTCTCAAAGTAGTGAGTAGCGGCAGCAAAACCTAAACGCTATAGTTATTAGTCAATGGTCCAACTTTAGGGATTTGATGAACTTGAGCGGTGACCACCGGTGATCCACTAGGTCCATGTGACCTAATAGGGGCAAACGATGCGACACCATCCAAGGGAGTAACACGATGCCAAGCGGCGAGAGCGCGCAGAAAAGATTTAAGGAGATCTGACTAACCTGTCGAGCTTCGCGGGATCATCTTATCGAAGTGCTTTATGCCGGAATCAGGAGACCGGATATCTGAATTGTCAGCATGGGTCTGGACATGCTTCTTCCGATCCTGGGGACGCTTGAAGGCCCTGCCGCAGAACTCGCACTTGTGGGGCTTGAGGGGTATATGAACAAGAATGTGGGAGGTGATATGATTACGCTTGACAGTGGTGGTATTGCAGGTACCCCATTGGCAAGTCAAGTTGAGGTTGTTAGTGCTCTTGCAGCCAATATGGCGGTCGCAGACATGCCTCTGTATGGCGGCCCTTAGCATCCTTCCACGCCGTTGATCTCGGGCGACAAGCTTACGTGGAGAGCCTCGGCGGTAGGAGACTTTTCAGTGCAGCAGGCCCATTGACAGGGCAGCTGTTCGCCGGCGCCGTTAACAGAAGAATTGTTGACAGCAGCGGTGGCATCTGTCTTAATGGGGCCGACTTGTTCACTGCCAGCGATGGGCGCAGGAACAGTGGCTAGCGGCGTGGTCGAGGCAATCTTACTTTCCGCCATGGTGTCAAGAAATGGATCTGGGAGTTGGTGGAAAGCCTAGGCACGAATTTCGGGTATGGACGGTTGGAATGAAACAACTTTCAACCGTGTAACGATCAGAAATGATATATATACAAGCACTTTAGCAAAGGGGAAACAATAATTTTTTACCCTATTATATGCGTATAGGGTGGGAGAAGGGGGGAGCTGGGGAGATGTGTCTAAATAAGAAAGAAAGGGAAAGAAGAGAGAAAGAACGATGGGAAAACTTTGGTAGTTCTCTGCAAGAAGAAATAGACCGGGGGGGGAAGAGTCGAGATTTTGTCCAGAAGTAGCCGCTTTGCTAAGCCGAGCGGAGGCGTGACAGGACAAGACAAAGGAGACGGGGCCAAGAAAGAGTCTGCGGGTCCGAAGGTCCGAGACGCGCTGCGTCATCAACCAGAGCGGAATCGAGGGGGTGTGAGTATTTTGCATTCCGGTGCCAATACTAACAATATAGGGCCGAGTACGTATAGTTCATTGCTTCCGTGCTATTCCTTTCCATGAGAGACATGTTGATAGAAAAGAATGAAGATATCCACGTGGAGACATGATATATCGGCATCTCATTTGGAATAGCGCAGTCTTTCGGCATCATACCTCCAACCGTCCAGCTAATTCCAAGGACTTGATTCCCTCACTCCACGTTTAGGACACTGTTTCGAAGTAAATCATAGAATGGTCGAGGTGGCAACCATCAGAATCGGGTTACTTCGCTCAGTCAGAACACCTGAGAAAAAATGGGGCGATGCTTCTTGGCAGCCTAGTGATTGCTTTGTGGCAACAATTCCCGCTCAGAGGGCCAAGACTCGACGTCACTGATCTTGATATGTTAGAATATTTTCTGTTTGGACTCTTTCAGGTCCCAATTCACAGTGCCAATATTTTGTAGTGAAAAGTCTTCCTGCAAACCACACGGCCGCACAGCTGCCCAGAAATTTGCAACCAGCAGTGACTGATGCCAAGGGTAGTCTGTGCGTCCGCCGAGAAACCCAGACTTCCAAGGTTCCTGGCGCCCATCTTGAACCCAGGTCAAGCTCTATTAAACGTGCAATCGCAGCCCAGCACCCAGGAACGTGCAAATATACCCACTATGACTGGGCTAGGTGATCCATAAAGAGTACCGGAAGACGTGCTTTGTTTGCTCTTGGCGTCCGCTCACAAGGCTTGGCGCCAACTTGCGCCTGTCTTTGGCCATGAGAGAAAGTCGCCTTGGGCTCAGCCAATGACCGTTGGTTATCAAGTACACGCTGTCAATTAAATCTGTATTATGGGCTACGACTGAAATGGGTAGGGCAAACTCAACATGGATCCCGCACTTGGCAATGGTCATGGCGAGCTTGCAGTCCGTATAATGGCACCATAAAATCTGGACATTGGTAGACTTGCCAATATCAATTCCTTTTTTCATTCTTCAGATTGTCCTTGTTGTGTAGTAAACACAGCCAAGCCCTTCTTCGTCATGGCATCGCTAGTAACTGCGAAGTATGACTGGATTTTGGCTATTACCACCATCGCTTTCGTGTTCAGTGCCTTCGGTAACGGTGCCAACGATGTCGCCAACGCTTATGCCACTTCCGTCGCAGCCCGGACGCTCAACATGGCCACGGCCGGTGTCCTGGCTGTATTCACCGAGTTCATCGGTGCAGTAGCCATGGGCAAACGAGTCACCGATACAATCAAGAACGGCATCATCGGCATCGACCGCTTCGAGGGCAAGCCTGGTGCGCTCATGTTGGCTATGGGCTGTGCAGAAATTGGCAGCGCTACATGGTTGATGGTCGCCACTCGCATGGGCTGGCCTGTTTCGACAACGCAGACTATCGTCGGTGCCCTCGTTGGTGTTGGTTTTGCCTCCCAGGCTTCTATCAACTGGGGTTGGTCAGATGGCAGTGTCTCCCAGGTTGCTGCATCTTGGGGTATTGCCCCTCTCGTGGCAGCTGCATTCTCGGCTATAATCTTCGGTACTCTCAAGTACAGTGTCCTTGAACGTCAAGATTCATTCAAATGCGGCATGCGTATGATCCCAGTCTACCTTGCCTTTACGGGAGCTATCCTCGCCCTCTTTATCGTCATCGAAGCCCCCACGGCACCCTCATTGGAAGAGTTCGGGGCTGGCAAAGCAGCCGGCATCATTGTGGGTGTGTTCGTCGGCTGTCTCATCATTGCCTATGTCTTCTTCAGGCCATATTTCATCCGCCGTCTCATCCGAAACGATCCCCGCGTCAAGTTCTATCACCTCCCTCTCGGCCCCCTTCTGCTGACAGAAAGTCCACCGCTATACTTCCCAGGAAAGGGCGATGAGGCCGTGGTCAACTACTATGAGGATGCCTACGGGGAAGTTCAAGCCGGCCACAACGATGAACACAAGGAAAAGGTCACATCAAATGCAGACTCTGTCGTGCCCACACCGGAGATTACAGCAATGTCCAGTCCGTCACACATAGGGGATGACGAGGAGAAGATCACACCGCAAAGCCAGCCACGGAAGAAGCATCTCGAACCAACTGAACGTTTCATCGATCCTGTCCGACACCTCCCCTGGACAAATCCCCAGAAGGCCTATGGTTATCTCAAGTACATTTTCCTTCAGGGCGTAACGCGTGATGTGGTTTCACACGACTCGCCTGAGCTACGGGCAATCCACGCACGTGCCAACCGGTATGATGACCGCGTCGAACATCTCTGGACATACTGCCAGGTCGTGTCGGCTATGATGATGTCAATTGCACACGGCTCGAATGATGTGGCCAATGCTGTTGGTCCCTGGTCTGCTGTGTACAGCACATTTAACGCTGGATTTGTCGACACTAAGACACCCACCCCGGTCTGGTTCTTGGTTGTTGCTGGTCTGCTGCTCGGTCTTGGATTCTGGTTTTACGGGTACCATATCGTTCGTGCGCTGGGAAACAAGATCACCCAGATGTCCCCCACGCGTGGCTTTAGTGTTGAGCTTGGAGCAGCTATCACTGTGATGTTGGCTTCAAGGCTTGGCTTGCCCGTTTCCACGACGCAGTGCTTGACTGGTGCCTCTATGGGCGTTGCTCTCATGAACTATGATCTTGGCGCCGTCAATTGGAAGCAGCTTGGCTTTATCTTTGGTGGCTGGGTCTTGACTTTGCCTTGTGCGGGATTGGTTTCGGGGCTGCTTTGTGTGATGGCATTGAATGCTCCTCATATGTAGATAGACATATTGGTTCCTGGCATTGTTAGCCTTTCTTTTGACAAAATGTACCCGAAATGAAAAATAAATCCAAGCCAATACGAGAAAGAAAAGAGCATTTATCAACGGACATGTTCAGCTTTGTGCGTAGGCGTTGTATAATCCAAATCGTCACGATCCAGTCGAAGGACAGGTGTTCTTCTAAACACAACGGAGGATGATCCTCTATTTGGTGCGCTTGTAAATCTTGCCAAGGAAGGCCTCGAAGACCTTTTTCTCCAGATCCTTAGACTCATGGGCGGCCGCAATCTTCTCGTGCAGCTCACCAACAACCCTCTCCTCGTACTTCTTGTATACCTTCTCCAGCTGAAAAAAAAAAGCTCGTTGAAAAGGGCCTTGACCTTGGCCTCAGCAGCGCCCTTGCGGCCGTAGGAAGCATCCAGGAGCTGGCGCTGCTCGAGAGTGCAGCGCTGAATGGCCTGGTTGACGAGCCAAGAGCATTTGTTGTCCTGAATATCGTTACCGATCTTGCCAATGATAGACGGGTTACCGAGGTTGTCGAAGTAGTCAACCTGGATCTGGAAGTATTGGCCCAGAGGAATTAGGATGTCGTGAGCCTGCTTGAGGGTTTCCTCAGTGGCCAGCTGCAGGTACATAGGGGCCAGAGCTACAGGCAAATAGAAGCTGCAGTGAGCTGTCTTGTAGGTCACAAGGAACATGTACTTTATAGGGAAGTTGTCGAAATTGAAGATGTCCTCGGGTGCGGTGATGAGGTCACAAAGATGGCCCAGATCCGTCTGCCAGGTGGTCTCATGGAAGAGCTCAAAGATGTCAATGTAGGCGGGGTGCGAGCGGAAGCACTGCTTCGGGATTAGGTAGATACCCGCCTCCAGCATACTAATTCAGGCCGGAAACATGATTGGTAGTCCGTACAGGCCGCCGAGCTGCTTGGGATCATATATTCCACCAACATCATCAAAAAGATCGCTCTCTGGTGGTGGAAAACTTCCCCCGCGCGAGTGAGAGCAGCAACTATCCTCAGCCAGACACTGGCTGACTTGCTGATCCACGATTCATTGTATAAATGTCAGTACAGTGGAAAAGTCCCTTCTTGTTAAAAGGGGAGAACTTTTCAGCTGCCTCAGACACAAGCCTGCTCGATTTTGCAAAGTCAAGCGAATAAATTGTAGACCGAATTGCCGGGGGTAGATGACGTATTTATAGGCTTCTCGGCTCCTTCTGTTGCGCAAGTGCTCTGCTTGGTAGAACGCGTTGAGGGACAACTCTCTTAATTGAGGCCTGTTGAAACACATTTCTTCTTTTTATCGCAATTATTTGCAGCGACATGCAGCGACAATTTTTATGCGTTTAGCTTAGCGAGAGAGACGAGTAAGAGTGGTGTTGAGAAAAAGGATGCTGAGTCGGTCAAGAAACGTTGGCTGACTGTTGAATCCTTTACGTCTCTCTGAAATTGAGGCACTGGTTTGCTATTCAATCAGCAATGACAGGCTCATATTTCTTGTTCTGATATCTCCCCTGTGAGTGGCTCAACGTTGAATCACTGAAAATCGCCTACAATTTCATACTCGAAATCATGGACTTTTTCCTTGCCTCGCTTTAGTGTGGTATTGGTTGTGTAGAGTTATGGGTCTGGCCACACGTCAACACTTAATTTTCGAACTTGTGACCATGAAAATATGACGAACTGGGAGAGTGGTCAAATACCACTAGGACCCTTTGGGACAGGCTTCTTCATCGTTCACCCAATTCCCCCTAGTATTTGTACGGTATTCCGGGCACATTCGGAAGTACGGTGTTGTAACACGCCGAATAATGACTTGATCATACTTCATCCAGTCGGGTACTATACGGCTTCCGATTAGGCGACCTATAGATATCAAAAGGCTCAGTCTTTCAACCTTGGAAGTAGTTCCTATTTGTCCCTACATCGGACGTCCATCACTACTCTACAAGGATATAATTTAATCCCAAGGTTTGGCAAACTGCTGCAAAAGCTGCAAAAGCTGCAAATAATGCAACTGCATTTCAATATCTAGAGTGTGTCACCAAGGCAAGAGCCTATTATACTTCGGCGAGGTGAACTCTTGTATGCCAATCACCGGCTAAAGCAAACAAAGAGCAAAGGAAGTACAAACCAGCCACGCCAATGGCGGCCCAACCGGAGTAAGGCCCAGAAACCTCAAAGGCAAACATCACAAAAGCGGCACCAGTCAAGCAAATGATTACTAACACAGGTAGTGATCGCACAAGCAAGCTATGACCCTCTCCCTTACGTCGTTTTTTCGATCTGATACTAGCGATCAGGAAGGAGAAAAGGATACCATAGAAGATGCAAAAAGGCAATACCAAAGGTGTCAAGCCCCAAGGATAAAAGGAGATCTGCAAAAACCCCAGGCCTTCCAGGTCGTTAAACGTGCATGCCCGTATGAGACACCAAAGAGAAAGAGAAACAACACAGAGAGAGAGAACCAGCGTTACAGCTGGAGCGACCAGAGAGCAGGATGCGTAGTAAAACTCGTAGTCAGGATGGTCATTGAAGATCCTACGAGCCAAATCTTGCGAAACCGGTAAGGCGAGCTCGCTGTAGGCCGGAATTCAGAGATGACCTCACTTCGGTCGACCGAAACAGAGCACATTTGGCCCTGACGCTCCTCCACTTTCTGAGTCTTAGATTCTTGAGATGGGTCAGCAATTACTGGAAGAGACCAATTGCAGATACACTTTAAACTCACCAGGATAGAAAAACTCAAAGACAGTTACCAAAGGAACAGCAAGAAGTGCAATAGACATTACCTGACCGAAGCTCCATTCAATGTCTTCTCTATTGGCAGAGACGCACGGCGCTGAACAAACGCTGAACACCCCAAATGAAACTAATAATTAGCCACCAGACCTGGGTTTTCAGTAAACTTGGGGTTAAATTTAATCATTGATGAACCCACTTCAAAAAACATCGAGTTCCAGGTCTCTACTAGGATACGTAGAGTGAGGAAAAGGGCCAAAAGAGGCCGATACAACAGAAGCCTTTGCAGGCTATGAAGGAAACTTGGAGTAACACACCAGCCTTCAATTGTTCGCAAGGGTTTGCGTAGCATACGGCTGATACTACCGCGGATAGTCCGAGCAAAAAAATATGACAGACTCTGGTGCATTTTTAACACCCTGCACACAAAGCCAACAAACAACAAAACGACTGATATAGACATAGCCATTATGGAAGAATCACTGAAGGCATGGCCGTTGTCAACCGAAGCGTACATATGATTCCGAGCTGGATCAGGACGTTGTACTGGTCTTAAGTAGCAGATGGCATAGACCTGAAGTGCAGGATGGCCGGTGCTTTTTGCAGAATATCCATATTGCCATCTGTAGTTAGCCGTTGGAAGGAATGCCAAGATCAGTAGTACAACTAATACAAACATACAGACGAGCCGCCAGATTCGTTCTGCCGGCCGCTGATGTAGGCAGTTTCGGAGAAGAGTCAGACATGAGAGATGGGTCAGGCTAGAGAACCATGCGAGGTAGACTAGCACCTGCCATTGGTGTGTCGAGATTCCGCATTTGAGCTGTGCCGCACCGCTGACAATGATAGAGATGCCGGTAATGATTTGAACATCACTCATAGAGAGAATGCACTATTATGTTTTCGTTTGAATATTGTTGAACATTGATAAATCTAGGTGCTCATTTCTGTAACATACCTTGACGAGCGATTTTTCGAACCGGGCATGATTTTTCCGCCCCCTATTCGTTATACCGAATACCTTGAAAAAGAGTTCTCGTGGACCTCTAAGCACTATTTCATCAATTGGGTTCGGTCGCGACCGTACACATAGAGGATTGGCCTGGTTCTCTCGAAAAGGGTCGAGACGAGGTTCGTAGGAAAACAAGTAATGAAACAGAATAATGAACACCGCGATGCCGGCAGTTGCGCAGTATCCTATCAAAACCTTCGAAGGAAGGTAAGCGTTTCGACTCGCGAGGTGAATTCGCAATTGGCTATACTCACTCCGATCCCTGTGATGTCATTATCTTCGTTGATATCAGTTGGGTGCACCGAGCAATCGTAACTGCACATACTGATGGCGAGTTGCTTGTGCCCGTTTGGGGCATTCCAAGGTTGATTTCTGATCGTGTCCGACCTACAAAATCAGGTAGGTGGTTGAGAGACATTTCCGCACCGGCGGAGTGGGTTACAGGGGCAGAAACGGCCAAATGTCGGAACCATGGAATCCGGAGACCAAAATCTATGGGTCCACAGCGTTTGCATTGTTTGTTTATTGATTATTCAGCATGTAATTACAGCCTAGTATAAATTGCCAGAAGAGAGGGATAATTAAAACCAGAGTTCGCAACATACTGTGATTGGCCGGTGAAAGCTGTAGTTGACAGAATCTGGATGCCTTGTTTTGCATGGGGAATTTTTCTAATGCGGACTAGCCCATTATTAGTCAACAAAGCTAAAAAGGTTACACTGTTTTAATACCTGTATTACGATAACGTGGACCTGCGGTGAACTGAGGTACTCATACTCGCACTGGTATTCCATTAAGACAAAATAAGTAAAACTATTTCGACTTGCCATATCTCATAAATACCTGGTTTTATTTCCTTTGATTATGACGATCTGGTTGGGAGTGCACAGAAAATGACCAACCCCGACAAAACTTGCATACTGTTGTAATTGTAATTCAGAGGAATGATTCATTTATCCATTATTTCTGCGGGAATACAGGAGACCATATACGACTTGAGGTCCAAATTGGTTGGAACCAATTTGGTTATTTGTATACATCGTGAAGGAATTATTTCCGATGATGCGGCTTGGTTCCTGAGCTACACCAGCCTTGTTTTACAACACAAACAATAGCGGAGTAAAATAGCCCGGACTGAACAAACAAAGTACACGTATAACAATTTGATAGATACTCAAACGATGTTCGAAACAGGCCTCATTGATCTGAAAATCACGAGACAAATCCTGATAAGTTGCGATGAGCACTCCCCGACGTCCCCTCAGCAAAGAGACTTTTCTCACTGGGTCTTGTTGAAGGAAGTCATTACTCAAAAAGCACCTCACAGCCAAGCCATCACAAATAGCGATCATACGATTTAAACGATCGCGGTCTTGAAATGGTCCTTTGTAGCCCTGGGCATGTCCTGCTCAGGCCCGCTCAAAATTTCATGCGCATTCCCATGTGCAGTCTCGTAATAGTCGGGAGCACTCTCCAAGTCGTCCTTCGCAGTACCTTTAATTGTGGACTTTCGTCGAACGTGGGTGTCTCGGCAGGCCAATATAAAGAACAAAAAGTGAAAAACCCTGAAACAAGGTTAGCAACAGTTTCAGTGCATTGACCGTCGAAAATCACGTACCCAACTATAAGCAAGAAGATTGCAACAACGGCATTCCCGCGCCCATATGAATAACCACTTGCAGCTCTGGCGTTGAGTATTCCGAAAAAGAAATGTACCACCGCAAGAGCAAAATCCAAGGCGATGGCAAACCCCGGATGAATGGTACGCTCGGTGTGAGAGAAGATCGAAACGAGGGCCGACCAGATGGTTGTCACCGCAAGCTGCTCGATGTCAATCAGTCAGATGTGCTTCAACTTGGCCTTTCAAGGCGGGAGCTGCATACGATAACGTAATAGATCACTCCAGACGCTGGGTAGTAGGTTCCCACTGCGATACAAATGATACCAATTAAAGCGATAAGAGCATCAAAAGCTCGAAAAGCTGTCCTCGGTCCCGGTGTCTCTGTTATCCACAAGTCGCGAATGATGAATCTCATGACGGTTGACGAGATAGATGCCAGCGGGAGTGTGAATATCGGCGATGGGTAAGCAGAAGGATGTGGAACGAGATAAATAGAAAAGCATAAGGTTAAATATTAGATGCAAGTGCTATACTTGGTTGCTCAGGGTTTCGAGATATGTTCTGACCAGCGTAATTATATCGCGCGATGAGGCGGTGTTGGTGCCTTTTTCTATGTTATATGCGTGTCATAACCAAGTCAGCCTTGCACTCAAAACTACGTTTATCTTGTCTTGGATTTTATTGAGAATTGTATGTTGGTCTATCATTTGTTAATGCTATAGTGGGCCTGTGCAAGGATGCCCTGGTATTTTGGCGTCTAGCCCGCCAACAAAACCCGTCAAACGAACCTATCGAGGCAAAAAGAGAGTATTTAAAATACTTTCCAGATCACATTTACGAATACCGCGATATGACAACCTCACGTATAAGACCAGAGAACAATAACAATGGCTTGAAGTAGTTTCGCCAGATGTTGCTTCTCATTTGGGCAAGCATGTAGGGCCAGGATCTCGGGAAGACTCCGCAAATATCTCGATGACACACTAACCTTTTCGGAAAATGCCCCAAAGAATATATGCGTGAGTGACCACATGCCACAGCCTCGCTTGGCAGAGTGGGAATGTGGATCCTTTCATCGGCTTCTTGGCTCGATATGTCTGCGTATGGAGACAAGTACTACTGCGATGAAAAACGGTTCACAGACTTCTACCTAAACATAACAATTCAACGACCGGGAAGGCAAACATCAACAGAAAGGGGAAATGGGACCAGGGGTTTTCGGGACTCGGCTCATAAAGTTTTCCTAGAATGTTGGGCTTTTGCAACCACGAGGTACATAACAAGGCCGTGAATGTGGGGAATCGTGTGGGGAATTAGTTCATGATACCCTTCAATCATCGTGCTTTCGGGCGGTGATCTCCGAGTATTTTTCTCGGCAAGATATGAGCCCTTTCCGATTTTTCGTGCATAGCCCCAAATCTGCATTGGGAAATTCCTCGGGCGGAAACAGAGTACTGAGACAAAGTTTTGATCTTACGTCCCTTAGGCGTATCGCGCATCAGTTAGCACAGCTCTTTCGTTCAAACAAGTTTGTCCCTGACTTGACGTCATATCGAGTGCTTATCTGTGCCTAGCATAAGCTTGTGATCTGTTTTCTGGATAAAAGTCTTACATCTAACTGTCATTTCGGGTTCCATCCATCAAGCGCCTTCAGCTTCATTCCGAAAACCGATCACATTGTATCATTTTCATGACATGGATGTATTCCCCCTAGAATTTTTGGCAGCTTTGGTGTGTTGTTGCGTGACCAGTGTTGAGTTCAAACGACCAAAATCCTCTGCCGAGGAACGCCAGGTTCGCAGAGGGCGCAAGGTTTGCAAACAAGGCAAGAAATAATGAAGATGCCTTTGGTTGTATGTAAGTGGTTCTTCAATACCGAGCTCTATTGCGGCAAGAGATGGCAAAAGATTCTGACTAACAGTCTGACTGCAGAAACCCTTAATTCGGCCACGCAACATGGGAACAGGATTTAACATAGTCTGCTCGATTCAACTGCTGAAAAGCATGATACCCAAAGGTAAGCTACCGCGAGTTCAAGCAGCTGCTCTTCCAAAATCTGCACGAGCAACACAATAATCCCTCAATGCAGGCGGCCATGCTTCAATTTTAGTCTTTAATTCCCTGTGTCTAGTTGGCAGATGATATTCGCCGGAAATGCAAAGGCTGTATAGCCGCATTTTATTGAAACAGGCTTGAGCTCATGTGTGCCATGAGATAAATATGGATTAACCAGTTTTCTGAAAATCGTGTACTGCAAATGAACACGAAAGACCCACTTCTAAAGTTTTCACCAAGTGGACAAGTGGGGCTTAGAATTCTTTTTTGCATTCAGTGTCTCCCCGCGAGCGTATGTGATTGTGCTCCTGCGAACCCACCCGCTTGGCTTGGCATAGGGCTGTGCATCTCCGCTAAACCGAGCCTCTGAGAAAATCAGCATATATTCTCAAGTCCCATAGCTTGTGAATTTCTCCATCTCCTGTCTGTTATCACACGTCTATCATTTCGCGATCGAGAATGTTCTTGTTAGGATCTCCGTATCATGCTGCCCGGTCCCGTCGACAAAAGTCCGCCAAGCCGGAAAGGAGGGGCCAGCGAGAAACAGACCCGAAGACCAGAGCTCTTTTTACCACTATGAAAAACCAAGCCGCTTGTCAAAATGCAAACAAGTCCTGCTGTAACGAGCCATGCGCCCATTCATAGTCAAATTCTCAAACAAATATAGGAACCAAATGTATGGCTCTTGTGAAAAGATAGACCGAGGACCGACTGACCTTGACCGTAACATCACTAGCCCCTCGAGGAGAGCAAAGTTGTTTCGCTTTTGACTCAAATGATCCGCCACCTTCATATGCAGATTCAATCTCCGAAACGAAACCCTCACCAGAGCGACATGAAGCTTAGAATTGGCTTGCAATTCAGGATCTCATTCCAAAATAGAAAATTAGGCGAAGGAATTTGTATCATAATTTGTACATGATGATCGTGGGATTCTTCAATTCCATTGGGGCGCCAGATATTTTAGAACAGATCGAGAAGACTAGGGAAAACTCTTGCCATGCCTGCGGTTCATAGTAGCAGACACAAGGTACTGAACTGCCAACCCAGCAAGCGCTGTCTCGTGGGTTACCCAACGCCGTAAAAGCTATATTTAGTAGGAAAGCGTCTATATTTGGGCTTCAGGACCAGGATGGTACACATAATACGCCGCTCCATCTCGCCGTTGAAGCAAAATGTCCGTAAGTATTCACATTACTGTTTAATCACCCTGGGCAAACGTAGACTGCACAGACACAGACTGCAGCACGTCGCTTCGGCTGTCCACCTACTCGTTTCGCGATAAGCTAAGAGAGAGGCTCCTGACTGAGAAAACAATGGATAATCAATTTCGTCGGGGGCCGCGGAAGACACTCGAGACCATCTGTATCATTGCGCCACTCCGTGACCAGACTGGACGCTGTTGTCGTGATATAAAGCTGGTGCAGATCAGGAACAAGCCGCACCATCAGAATTAATTCCCAAAGTGTCTATACGAATAAGCTAATCGATTGAAATTTGATTGGGAACCATCTTGGTTGTCTCGTATACCAAGCCTCGCGCATTTCCTTTAAAACAACAATAAAAATCTTTGGACTACAACACTTTACTCTTTCCGGGCATCGGTGGGTGCAATTAGTCATTTCAACACAGTGGCACCTCACTAGCTATTCTCTTCACTCTTTATAACCACATTTTCCACGAATTGATCTTATCCCAACACATCCAGCTAGGCCTGCGCCTTCCCTTGACATGCGTGTTACGATGGGCAACCGTTTTAATGCCAACCTCGCATTTTACGCGGATTATGGCTTTGAGAATACTCTGTCTTCTCTCAATTTCCAAACTATGCTACGGGGACTCATCGAACCGAAATGAAACCTATGTGCTTGCTCCAGAATATGGCACGGGCGGCTTAGAAACGATACAAGCTAACATGTCCATCGCGATAGCAACCACAGTCCTACATCCCGGGCCTACGCTTCCAGCCTGGCTTGATTATCATCTCCGCTGGGTACAGCATGTGGTGATATTCATGGACGACCCAGATGAGCGTCCGGCACTTGGCCGAGTATGTGAGAACAAGCCCGTCACGCTATTAAACGGATCGCGAATTGAACCTAACATGACGCTTGAAAGCCGCCTCATCCGGCGTCAGATGGCCAATATGCGGCATGCAATCGTCTATCTGATGGAACGTGGCTACACGTGGCTCCTCCATATCGACCTCGACGAGTTGCTCTATGGGCCCCTAGTGGAGTCCCGTGCCTGGACTAGAGACCCTCGCTTCCAATTGACTTCGAGACCTCAGATCCGTTCAGAGACTGCGTGTACTTTTGGGTGAACGGGGTAGACCGCAACGTCAACTTCTTAGCCTACGGCAATGGCAAGAGCGCAGTCCGCCTCGGGCCGGTCGTCGAGCCAAGAGGGGCCCACTGGTTCTCCGGCCACGCCGGCCGCACATTGACCCTCTCAGGCGAAGAGGCGATGATATTGCACTACCTGTACCCCTCATACGACAGCTGGCTCCGCAAGTTCAACCATTGCGGCCGCTTTTCTGACTACTGGTTTGGCGACCGCCGGGCGCCAAAGATTATGGACTTCATGTTGCATTCGCGGGATGTGGTCCAGATGGCCCATAAGACCAATGACTGGGTCAAAGTTAGGGCATTCTTCTCCGGGCGAGTCCTGGATCCCTAGTCGAGGAAAGAGGCCATTTCCCAGGGCAAGATACGTCACTACACGCCGTTCGCGGATCTCGAAAAGGCCTAGCAGCCTTGTTAATATAAGGCACTATTCATAAACAGGGAAGCGTGAATACGAATTCCCTTTTTATGGCATGATGGTAATATATGCTATTTAATAAGCTCCTCCCAGGTTGGTCTATTTCCGACAGTAGCTAGTGCTTCATCAAAGGTATGTAAGCGATATAAAGGCTCTCACCTATTTAGCCGTTCTCAATCCCACTTGGGCCTATGAGTATACCGCATGTGGGCAATTTGGCCTTGATGGATGAGCTGCGGAATTTTCCCCCACTAGATCACATTGTCGCGGGTCGCAAGAACATTCCATCTTAAGATGGTATGTCTCTTTTATATGTCAATTTTAAAGGAGGCAAGAGCCGGAAACAATATCAAATTTTTAGTTAGAGGTGAAGTATGACGACATAACGCAGATACAAATATAAGGTCATGGCATACTGTACAAGCTTCTCGTGTCCATTCCTTTCGTAAGTGCTTGAAAGCTGTCAAAGCTAGGTTGGGTCTTTGATATGCTCCTGTCGGTTGAGGTCGACATACGAAGCATGGTGTCTCCAGTGTACATCGCAGCAACCTAGGACAAATTGAACGAAATGGAGGAAACTATGTTTTAGTGTGTTAACGCGTGCCTATATATTGAGTCTTCGCATGACATTTACCCATTGACAACCATAAGTGGAAAAGCAGCCACGATGATTTTCCTCCCCGAGTCCTATCGGTATCCATCGTAATAAGATGCAGTCTCGTATCAGGCCGAGGATTCCGAAAAAAACCCCAGATCAGCCGTGAAGATTAAATCCACAGAAATTTGAATACCAGGGTGGACAGGCCGCTTGATAAAACTTAAGGTGACGTTGATCAGAGACCAGATCCCTGGGATGTCGACCTGTGGTTTTTGGTTAGACTGCCATCTCATGGAACGCGATTGACATTTGAATGTACTGGTGCACGAAAGATAATATAGTATACCCAGCCCTCGTTGTGCCACAAAGCTCCAAGTCTGACATTGCAGCGACGGCCACATGCACAGCAAAGATACGCAAGATTGGTCTAGGCCTTTTGGGTTCAGATGCTAATGCGTTGGTCATGTTGGTGATTTAACCAAAATTTGAGGTCACAAAATGGAATGTTATCCAAAATGATTAAAGACGAGATCTGACACAATGTAACTCAGAGTTTCCGTCTACTTAAAGGTAGGTAGTGGTACCAAGAACTCAACAAATGGCAGTGCAGCTTGCCTGGGTGAAGATCATCGCTGGGCGCAGCTTTGCGAAGTCCATGGAGAGCCAACTTCCGCAGTGAACTTCATTACTTCACGAGATCGAGAATTGGACTAAGGCTTCGGTCGACACGGCTTTTTCGTCTGTCGTATAAGCAATTTGCTAGGGGCTTCTAAGAGATGGAAGACCAGTTTCCGCTTTAGGAAATGTTGCGCGAACTCCCGAGACAGAAATTCGATGGTTTCCCCACTCTTAGCCCGATCCCGCACATCCATAATGGAGTTGGCGTTCCATGGCTCTTGCACCCACGGTGATCGATGATCGGTGAGAACTTCAATCCCACAGCCACTGAGCGTGTGCCTTCTGATACATGATAAAGTGACTGACTGTAAAGCCGCCGCGACCACCCCCATTTCGGTAGGCAGCCCGATATATAGCAGTAAGTATCCACTGCTCTCCACCTCTCGTTAAAAAGTGATCGGCATCTATTACCATAAAAAAACCGATGGAAAGCTAATCGAGTACTTTTATGGCCGAATCTGTATGATCGGAAGTGGCGAATGAGGAACCCGAGGGAATTTTGGTAAAATAAGTTCTGGTAGTGGAATGAAATCTTGTGGACCATTTTAAAAGTGACAATTAGCCCCCATCCGGTAGGGCCGGTGAAATTTCGGACCGGAATTAAAGTCGTTCCTATCCGAATAAAACATGATTGTCACGCCATAGTTGAGCATTATTAATTAAATCCGAACTGTGGTATTTCATTTATAAGGGATATTTATTGGTGACCTCACCCAATCAAGAGGGATCAGGAACGTGTATAGTTTGGCCGTGATGGGTCACCTGTCGCTGCGGTCTTAGATCGTAGCGTCAGATAGAGCCCAAATGACCCGGGCCAAACTAGGATGGTGGAGGGGACGGTGGAGGAAGCAGTAGAGACAGTGGGGCCGGCGAGCCTATCTAGAACTGGTGATTGAGCTTGTACAAGACAGACGTGTTCGTCGTGAAATACACCCTGAATGCCCCCGAGGTCCATCTCCCGAGCACCTGGATCTGATCGTCGAGGATCCCACTATCATGCGCATGTTGAGCCGCACCTTTCCGAAAGCTGTGGCCTGAGTAGCCGTCCGCGTGTATCCCAAGTGCTCTCAGCTTAGTAGATAGGGTAGAGAGGAAGTTGTTGCGATTGAATGGTCTTCTGTGAAAGGAGAACAACAGGGCATCGGACGCTCTGGGGTCGAGAAGTAGCAGCCTCTGAAGCGCATCAACCGGGCAAGCTCCGTCTCTTGGTTTCTGACCTGAACTTTGGTGGTTGGGTTGAGTCTTCTCGCGCCGTCTGTGAGGCGTCGAAAGTGCTTGTTATCGAAGGGTCTATCCTCAAGGAAGTTGTCAATATGGTAAGCTCGGAGGGCGGCTAGGTCAGCGAGTGCGGTGTCGGGCTTGACGGCCTTTTGGTTTGAATTCCCAAAGAGTCGTGAAGTTAGCCAGGAGGTTAACGACCGTGTTGAGACTGGCCAAGCCGAGAAATTTTGTAGCGCACAGTGCTTTTCGTAATTACGCTGAACAGAGTGGTAGACGGAACGCGTGTTAGCGCTGAGGCCGCTCCAGAGCAGTTTTAGGTGGCCTGCATTGAGCTGAGGAGCTCGCGAAGAGAACCACGCGGGCGGTTCAACACCGAGAGGTCCTGCCAGTGGGGAAAAATGTTAGCAACCTCTTGACAGCTATTACGGGAGAGGGCATCTGTTAGTGTGTTTTCCCCGGAAGGGAGCCAATGTGGCACGATTTGGATGTCTCTCACCGCCGCTAGGATAAGTAGGCTTTTCAGAGGTACGTTTGGTGGACCATGAAGGAAGCCTTTACTCAGTCCTGTGTAGTGTAGGCTGTGGAGCTATCCGTGTGGATAACGAGAGTATGAGGAAGCCAACGGTGGCTGAAGAGTAGGAAGCCTTGTAGAATGGCGTCTACTTCGGTGGTATTGATGTGCGCGTGTGCGACTTGGTGCGCGTGTGCGTCTTGAGCAAGGGCCAGTGAGGCAGCATTGCTTGGATGAAGCTGGTGACAATGGGCCAGCCAGCAGTCTGATATATACTTAGATGAGAAGAAGAACAGCCCCTGGCCTGTGTTGGAGGCATCTGTGTAGAGGTGCGTGATAGAGCGGCGGCAGGGGTCAATTAAGAGTACGCCGTTGAAAAGAGACAAGGAGTCCCTCCACCATTCCAAATCATCACTTACCTCGTAGGAGATACGGCGGCGCGAGCTCCTCCCATGTGGGAAGGCAGCTTGCAAGGTGTATAGAGACTGTAGCCTTGTCCTCCCAAGCCGGACAACTCTTGAACAAAAGGCTAATGAGCCTGTGAGACGCTCTGTTTGCTTGAGGGAGAGACTCGCTGCGTTCAGGGCAGCTGCGGCGTCCAATGTGGCGCGGCACAACTTGTCTGGCGGCAGGCGAGCTTCCATTGCAATAGAGTCGATCTGGATACCTAAGACTGTAACACACGTCCCTTGCTGGTCCTTTTGGTATTGCGGGGGATACGCAAGTAGTCGGTGACTCCGTTGTAAACCTCATCAAAAAGACCCATAGGGTCGGACACCGAGGGAGAACGAATGATTGCGATGAAGTCACCTAGGTAATGATTGACATATAATACAGGAAGGAGGCATCGGAGTATGAAATGGAGAGCCTCGGCGAAAAGGTTGAAGAGAAATGGGGCCGTAGCGAGGCCGAAGGGGAGGCAGCATTCGACATAAGTAGAATCGTTCCACTGGAAGGCAAGAAGATGCTGGTTATCCTCAGCAACAGGGACTATTCGGAAGGCGTCCTTAATATCCCTCTTGATGATTGTACAACCTGGGCCAGCTTGTGTAACCTGCTCCTAGATATCATAGATTGTTATGTATTCAATAGCTGACCAGGGGTCCGGTATGCCCTGGTTAAGGCCTTTTCCAGGGGGCCAGAATAGATCATGGATGCGGCGCCATCCCTCATCGTGCTTAGGGACTAACCCCAGCGGCGAAACGAAGGAGGGCCTACAGGCCAATGTAATGCGACCGAGGTTGAGATCCTCTGCGAGTTTGGCAGAGATCATTTCGGGTTCGTGTATGTGATGGTTGGAGGAGTGATAAAACTGCTTCTTGCCCCTATAGCCGATCTGGACGCCGTAGGTCAGGATTCCAGTGATAGTAGACCTGAGATCGCCTGGATAGTGGCGTAGGAGGTTGCTCCAGTCTTGTGCATATAGTGGTGACGGAGAGAACTGTAGTTTTGGGAGCTCCGGGTTGAAGACAGGGTATTGGATAGCAGTATTTGGCCTGGGCGGTTGGCCCTGCGGTATTAGGCTTAGTGGTAAGGGATTGGAGCTCCTATCGGCCTCTGTGATGTGTTCCCTAACAGTAGGGTGCACTTGCTATGTCTTCTTACGGCAAGAGGATGCGCCATGCTGGCTTGGACCGCATGCTGTGCACTCATGACGTCTCTTGCAGCCTTCCCAGAGACATCCTGTGATGTTGAACTTATCGCACACCTCGGTTTCATTATTAGAAGACCTAGTAGACCTTGTTTGACGAGGTCGGGCTGAAGGGTTTGCCGGTGACTTCGCAGGCAGGGTCTTCGCAGGCAGGGTCTTCGCAGGCAGTGTCTTCGCAGGCAGTGTCTTCGCAGGCAGGGTAAGATTGTGACGGAGATATTTTTCGCGAAATGGGGCTGTGACGAGGTTGTTCTCCGTCGACAGCTCTCCTTTACCCAGAATGTATTGGTGGAAGTTAAGGGCGAGCGGAAGTACTGCTTCTGACCACTGATATGTTTGAGCGAAGTCAAGGATCTGCCTCATGAACATAAGTAGGTTGGGGACTGCCTTTGGATGTTTCTCGCCGGAGAGATATCCAATGACAGCTAGGTATGTAAGGAAGCAGCTCGTCCATGTTTGAGGGTTGGGGCGCCAGTCCTTAAGCGATGCCGCTGCCTTCCTGAAGCCTACTGTGCCTCCCGACTCGGTCATCTTGAAGACCCTGTCCTCCTGATCCTCTTGCTCGGTGACTGACTTCTCTTTGAAGCGTATGAGTTCAGTAGGCTTCAACTTCCTCTCGAAGACGCGAGTAAGAAGGGCGGCGGAGACACCCGGAAATATGTCGATGAGTGGTTTGACTTCAGGGGTGGCTCACGGTTTTCCTCGAGATTCTCGTCACCTTGCAGGTCCACACGAGGCCTTCTGTGGCGGAGGTCTGTCTCCGCTACATCCATTTCAAGGCGCCTGGCCCTGTCTCTCTGTATCTGTCCTAGCCAACTGGCACGGTCTGCCGCGCCCATGGTTTCCCAAATGTGGGCCGGGGGCCAAGCGGAGTCAAGTGGGACTGGCTGAACGTCAGTCATGGTGGAGAGCGATATGGTCAAGGCTTATCGGTGTTATTGCCGCAGAGAAAGGACGTGAAACAAAACGAGTCTTGACTGCGTGAGAGATGACGAGCTACCAGCAGAGGCGAGCAATTGACTCCCGTGAGGCAGTTGCAGGAGGGAAGAAACCCCTCCGTAGGCCTGTGGGCTCTGTGCGGGTATCACTTGAGGCAACCCCAATAAAACTCTTCCCGTTATGAATGCCAATACGTAGTTGCATAGAAATGGGCTTGGTTGGGCTTTGCTGAAGTCTAGTGGCCATCACTCAACTTCACCGCCTAGCCACGTACCACAATACACACATCAACACCCTCGTCCATACTACCGTCAACTTTTATTAACGTTCATCAACGTTCATCAACGTTCATCGAAACCATCGACGACCATCAACGTTCATCAACGACCATCAACGTTCATCAACGACCATCAACGACTGTTGAGTATCACGGTGGTCAAAGCTTGTGTGGCGAGACTAGCGATGTACATTTAAATAGACGGGTTTCCCACTTTTGATAGTAACCCTAATAAGACTATTACAACTACCTATCTCAACAACGACCATCAACGACCATCAAAGTTCATCAACGACCATCAACGCTCATCAACGCCCGGTCAACACATCCACGACGCACCAAAATACTGACCATTTTGTTCGCTCCACGCCCTGATGGCAGATACATTCTATTGCAGCGGGAAGACTAGTCGGCCGCAAACCATGAAGACAGGAGGGTTGGGAATACGGCACTCGATAACGAAGGTAGAATCTTGAAGTTATGATTCTGGAATTAGTTCGCTTCTATCTAGGGCTCATTTTATTTTTCCAATGATGATCATTCGAAATACGAAATACGGCATCAAGATGGTGCGCAGGTCTTTGCTTCTTCGAGTACTCTTGATACTCGAATACTGGTCCCTAGCACCACGAAGAGGTGCCTGCACGGGCTAGAGGGGCTTTTTGTCGCAGATGTCCCTGCGGAGACTCTTGGTTTCGCAGATGTCCCTGCGAGGCGCTTTGTTGACGCAGGACCTAGTCTGCGGAGAACTTGGTAATGCAGCGGTCTCCTGCAGAGAACTTGGTAACGCAGCGCCCCCCCTGCGAGGATTATTGTTGACGCAGACCTATCCTGCGAGACACAGTTGATAACGCAGAGTCTATCCTGCGAAGCACCTTCTTACAATCGCGGGGCTCATGGCAGCGAGGGAGCACAATCTTACATCGCTGGGCTCGTGGCAGCGACAGCCGTGGCCACGGAAGCTCTCAAGCCCGTAGGCAAAAGAGGGAATGACACAGCGGAGTGTGAGGACCGAAGTCCTGATTTTTTTGTGCTGGGAATCTGGCCCCTTTTATATTTTTTCGGCTACGTCTCGACCAAGGACCCAGTTGCGCAGTTGGTAGCGAGAATCACCATCTCGTTATTGGCGTTGAAGACATTTGAACAACGTTGAAATGGTGTCGGAGACTTTGTGGCCTACAGAGTCAAGTCTAGCCTTGACTCATTGCTGTCAAAATCGTTTATTGAGCGTGGTGAACCATTACCATCACCTGTTGAACAGAAACTAACGCCGCAAAAACCTGATAACTACATATCATTGATATTGCAATCAAATCGCTCAACGCGGTGGCAGACTACTCTGCCCGTTTTGACCATGGTCACTAGTCACGGTCACCGTCTCTTTCATGAGGGTTGACGTGCTTCAACGGATGCCGCAATAATGGGTTGGTCACTGTGGCAGACAGTCATATTCGATTTTACCGGTTGTCGGCCATAGGACCTGCCTCCCATTGATCCCTCTACAATCCTCTTCGCCTATTTTTAGCCTCGGGCTACTCGAGCGGTACCTTTCTTTGTTGCTCGTAACTAACTGATGCTGCCTCTACTAATACTTCTGCTACCTGTCGGTACAGACACTATGAACATACCCCCAAATCCAAGGTGTTGGTTTTCTATTTTTGACGGAAATCAAAAAGTCTAGCCCTTGTTGGAAACCTAGAGTAAACTTGAGTCCACTTCCCAGGACAATATAGTGAGTTATTTCAGCTACCATAGCTCACGAGTTAGGTTCTCATGATCGCCACCCCCTCGTAAAGATTGCAACGCTACTGTCACATTGATGACACCCCAGATACAAATAGCACCCAACGGACCTATCAAACACCACGCCTGAATTTAGACAGACGCAGGTACGGTTCCGCGATGCAGATCCCGGCGACGACCCACGGGACAGTAGATCAAGGAGGTTCTGTTTGTGGCCCGGAGAAGAAATTCGAAGGATTTACAGGGGTCGAGACACGATCCGCAACCCCAAACCCGACGGCCGTTAGGGCACAATGGAACAGCGGTCTTTGTTATTTAAAGGGTATTGCTGGGCAGGAGAGTATTTTGAATATCACACAGAGTTACAGAGATGTGATCCGCGGTTTAGTTGCCCTCGCAAGAGAGTGATTGGTCCTCCGTCGAGGGGGAAGCTGCTGCTTTCTCTATCTGGCCTATAGAACGTTCTAGAAGCTATGTCTTATGTCCTGCACCTTCCTCGCAGAAAGTAGACTCTCTTTGAGCCCGACCCATCCTCTCCATCTGCCAAATTCGATCGCGAGTCTGATATCTCTAGCAGACAGCTTGTAGAAACTATGCTAATTACGCAAGGACAAGATGGTAGATCTAAACAAAGTCTCCGGTTTGCGCACTAGAGGCCGAGAAACCGATTGGTCCCGGCCGACCCACAAAGTTAATTTCAAGCACCCAGCTCATCTTGACCATTAATCTGGCGACCGAAATAATTTACGAATAAAGTCGTTTCCTGCTACAATGTATTAAGCTTCGCTGGCGTGAGACCTTGGTGAGGGTACCACGAGCTTTCCTCTGAACTTTCAGACTATGATACAGATTTAATCACGCCAATCCAACACTATAGATAAGCTTTCGATCAAGTTCCTCTGACAACCGCATTCTCTCACCGAGCGAGCGTTTCCATGGTTCATCGAAAGTTAGTTGCCGAATTTACTTGGGATTTGGTTACTGATCGACGGTCCCGCTCACTATTACAAGGTCATTGTGACTCTGAACTTTTTCCTATGACTCGAGTCTGCCAGTTTTGGACTGATTCCGAAAACCTTTGATTCTCGGCAAATATGACTAGTGCGTAGTTCGAAAATAAACCGTATACCTCACCTTCTACTCTACAGATCACTCTGCCTTCGACCACCCATCTAACCGAATCCATTTGAAGATGCAACCAAAGATATTACCTCCAGCTGACAAGAATTAGATGGGCTTTGAAATTTTACGAGCCCCCTTGCTACCATGTTCTGATCTTGTTTAGTTCTTTGAATCTTTATACACTGCCCGCAGTATTTTCCAGACCGCATGGGAAGACATACTCCTGAACTAGAGACAAGAATGAAGAATGTGCCAGTATAGCTGATTTATAACAGCACTGTAGAGGGGTCTGTTTCAAAGTCACACGAAAAAGTGCTCCATCTCACTAGGTTTGACATCTGGGACACCCTCGACGTTGTGATTCCAAGGAAGAGTGATTTCTCTTGTTTTTATAATTACATGAGGGGATATGTACAGCCACGACGGAATTCCTCATGCTGCGGCTTCCTTGCGGAGCTATCACAGGTGTTTTTATTGCAACGTGCACCAGGGCTAGTTATCGAGATAGTTGGCCTCTTGCTTCGATATCACGACGTAAACCGTATGACAACAAATTGTTGCTAGCATAAGCGTTCTATTCACTGCTATTCAAGCTTCCTGGCTGCACAAACACGATGCACATAGTCCCACATTAAAGATGACGATCGAGTTTCTTTAGGCCAACACGGGATTGATACTCGCGTCGTGCGACCTGTGACAGAGGATCAGATTGTAATCAGTAAATGATAACAGGTGATAACAGGAAATGTATTTCGTACCTAGTCTGGAGCTTTCTGCTTGAATTGATCCATTGCTGTCGGTCTGGCTCGCCTGGGCCGTGAGGATTGTTTCAAACCATTTGTCAATGTTGCTTTCGGCAGAAATGTTGTGTGGGAGAGCCGACAATGAAGCCCTACGGTCGACCAAGCCAAGGACTGATTTTGATTTGTTTTGATTGCCTGAACGATTAGAAGATCTGGCGTCAGTGGGACGACACTTCCGCAGAATGTGGTACTTCTTTCCCCGTAGAGACTCAGCGCTTCGGGCCACGCGGTGTTGTTCGTAATATGCGTCCGAGCGGGCTTTCCACGACAGCTACCGATGGGCATCTAGCCAAGAGAGAAGATTCTCCTCCTCCCATTCTGGCCAGCCCTATACGCTACGTAGGGACATGGTGATGGTCGGACAAGTGGCAGAAGTGGGAAGAACGGGTGAAGAACACAGCACAAAGTAAATTGGAAGGTTTAGGTTTGTTTAGTAAAAAAATATACTCGTTCCTCAGTCAACTATATAAGACCCTACCGTTACATTAAAAAAAAGGCTACTATTTGATTATGAGCTATGGTTCAGTCTGGTGGGCCGGTCTCAGACCCTCACCATTCGCCAGTCCAAACATGCCCTCATATTATCATCGCTATTGAGCCGCGATGTTGAAGCGAAAGTTTATGGGAGCATCTCTTTCTTGACCACCCAATATGGTTTCATCGCTTCGTTGGATCATATTTTTCTGACGGGATGTTTGTTTTTTCGTGCAAAATTCGTTGTTCTTCCTGTCCATCGACCAGATAAATCATCTGTCAACGTTGGTTTGACGGACAATGTGGAAGTCATGGCAAAGCGTAAGAGCATCAACAATGAAAGGTCTAACATCACTCAGAGTGTGTGGAAGATGGTTGACCTTGCGCCAACAATTGCAAGCAAGCAAGTAGTCAATTCCGATTTCAGGATACAAATTTCTATTAAAGCCAGTGCGATTCCTCCTTTACTATACACTCAACCAGAATCGGGAACACTCCCCGTCTCGTCGTGGCTGAAACGCAAGTATGGGTGGAATTCGAAAAGTGTCGCACAGTCATCAACTTCAAGACTTTCGGAGCAGATTGCAACGTGCATTGTCCTTGTCGTCCTCCGAGTCAGATAAAACCAGCAGTCCGTCGGCATCCGAGGCAGGCGATACAACAGAGGACGAGGTTTTGCAGGATGGAAACAACAGCTCTAACGATCAGGAAAACAGCAACCCAGTTGCCAAACATCGCTTTAATAGCGATTTGGTAGCCAAACACCAGAACATATTTAGTTGGGTCCTCTTCGCGCTGCCTCGCATTGCTGCCTTCAAACTGCGGCGGAACCCATGATGACTTGATGGCGGGTTGAAAACTGATGCCACCTAGCAGAATGTGAGCCTAGCAGACTGTAGGGCTCATTAAGATAGTTCTCAAAACATGCAGCAAGACATCTAAGATATATAATGGGCAGGGTCAGGTTGACTCCATATTTCCCTTGCCACCTGTCTGTTCAAATGGCAAACATTACAACAACTCGACAGCTCCGCACCCGACTGGCAAACGCCTGCGACCTGGCATCATTACTATGCGACTCCTCAAAGATTCCACTGTCAAAGATTGCCGCTCGCCATGATACAAATGCCGCTCGCAACATTCACGCTGGCTCGCTGAGCCCACCTTCTTCGCGGCGAGCCAACAAAACTCTTCAATTTAGGATTCACCATCGATCCCATGGCTCTCGTGTTACGCTCCAAGCAGGATAGCCTGTCAAAACCCAAAGGAAGGGTGCCACAAAAGGCCTACGCCACAAGCGAGCGGTTTCCGAGCGAGCGGCAACTCGACTGAATTGGATGCGACGACTTCGTCCCATGCCCCATAGATCTTGTTAGCTCAGATAGCTACAGGGCACACATACACACCCAGAGAGTGTTATGTCGCAATCTCTCGTTTCGTTCATGTGTCGTTAATATATGAAAACCTCTTGCAAGAAAATGAGTATGAAAATAGGTCTACAGAGCAAGATAGGTTAGTTCGACAAAATGAAATCTCTTTGTAGGAGCTTACTCTGCTAGGCATTCCATCGATTGGTATTTAATGCGGATCGAAATCAGTTTCACTATCTCGTTCTCTTTGATTGTTTTGCGAATTTTGGAGTACCTGCTTCAGGACGAGCTTGCGCGACCCATAACTCATGGCTTCAGGGTACATTGGTCCTCAATTCATCTTAACCCACGACGGTATCACTGAGGCGCTGTTTTCCCCGAGTAATAAGCCCCCGAATTTTGTTTTCCTGCGCCTTGCTGTCCATCATTTGCTTGAATCTCTCTCTGCGTTTACGGAATGGGGTTTCATCAAAGACTGTTGCTGGTTGTTTCCTTGACAATCTCTGCCGTACCGTCGACAACCCAAGCAAGCACAAGCCTCGCCCATATGCCTACCCTGACTAGAGGGCTTGAAGCCAATCGAAACGCTCTTGATAATTATAATGGGGGCATGGTAGCCACTGTCCCCGTTGCAACGACGGCGTACGAGCTGTGCAGTGCTTTAAAGATTGGAAATGATCATCTTCAGGGGTTATCTCCTTTTCCCCCAGAAGATAGCAAAGATATCCTGAAGTCTCTGGGCTCATTTGGCCAAGCTGATACCGGTAGCCTGGATTCTTACAAGCGGAAGGTCAGCTCTAAACCGTCGCCGAGAATCTTCTTGATTGGAACGTTCTTTTTCTGACTTGTTTTCTATGTATAAGCGCCGTTGCTTCACTGGTTTAGTGCCCATCAATTAGATCGTAGTTAGTTTAACCACCCACCGTGCCATCAATTCGCTCTCAAATATTTCGCAACCCCGTTGAGCGGCTTCGCAGATCCCTCCACAGCGTTTTAAACGCCGGCCACGAAATCGAGACGTAAATAAGACTATTCCAGAACCCCTGCAAAGGAAGCACAAAACTCGATGCATAGAAGAGCCCAAACGAGTAGTCGTCGGGGCGGGCGAACGCGTATACTCGGTTGACCGTGGAGGGAACCTGTACTAATTAGACGTGGACGCTGTCCTGAATTGGATTGAATTAATTGAGTGTAACCACCTACCCACGTCACAAGCAGTGCGATGAAGAACAGCATCGCATATTTCGTATACGCCCACGCGGCACAGCTCGCCTCTATGGCCTTCCGCCGCTGCGTATATGAGTCCCCGCATTCGTGCCGCGCCGCTTTGGCAGACACCTCTGCGCGGAGCGGCCTTGGGTCCGGCCAGGGGCGACACGAGTCCTGAATAGGTGAGGAGCTTTCCTCTAAGTTCTGCAGCATGCTGAAGGAATCGATCGGGCCGCCCTCGGGCGGGATGGAGCACGGAGTAAACGAGGAGGCCGTAAAGCTGCGGGTGGGGACATCCCTGGCCGACAGGGACCGGTGCACTGGCACGAAGCAGGCGATTTCGCTGGTAATCTGGATCCCGGCGTGTGTGACGAGCGGGCCATCGGGCTGGGTGTCAGAGCCGAGGGACTCGATACCGCTGAGGTTACGCAGCTCGCGGTGCTTCTTGTAGATGACGGACCCGGCGCGCAGGTAGATGGCAAAGGTGAGGAAGATGACGAACCACACAGGGCCGTAGAAGACAGCGATGCGGAGGTAGTCCCAAGGCAATGCGACCCAGCACCAGAGCTATATAATGAATATTAGGACATTATAGAAGTAGAAGAGACGGTACGTGGTTCTATAGGTGGTCTTACAATTGCGGTGCCGTAGACCCAGCCTCGGGCCTGGGTGTAGATAAAGAAATATATGAAGGATGGGATGAAGGGAAAGCCGTAGCAACACACCACATACTTCCACTCGATCTGGCGCAGTTGCTCTGAGTTATACTTGTGGAAGAATGTGTCGGATTGACGGATACTGGTATGTACTAGTATTGAGGTGTCCCATTGAGATGCCTTGATTGTTCTATCTGGATCTTGCTGTTGAAGTGTTATCAGATCTCAGGAGTCGTTCCTAGCGTGTTACAACGCTGGTATGCCGAGCGTACCCCGTTTACCATACAGAGACAAAGAGGGAATGGTTACTTGATGAATAACCCTGTTCTTAGTGGTAAAATACCACCCCTCAGTTCGACAGAATGTCAAGTAGACGTTGCACGCCATGGCAAAGGCCCACAAAGCGTCAGCGGGCATGAACCTACCTGCCATTAGATACGCACTGGACTATAAGCACCGATTGAACCAAAAAAAAAACAAAAAAAGAAAAGCTCACCACTGAATCAAAAAAGCTTGAACCTGGCACAAAGGGCTCCTAGCCCCGGCGTGGATCCCCGATTGCGAAATCATCGTGGCTATATTAGCCATCATATTGCCCCAAGATGCATAGAACACGAGGCGGTTGATCGGTTTCCGAAATGAGCGCGAGCAGATGAAACTAGTTATGATAATAAAGGTACCAATCAGCGAGATGGAAGAGCAGACGCGCTCCGTGACTGAGATAGCGGCGAGCTGTCGCTGCGAGGGCGCGGGCGCCATGATGTCATGACCTAGAGGGCGGCGGGCGTGCTGGGAGATGTTTCTGGGACCATGGGGTTCGATCAAGATCCCATGCCCACCAATTCTATATCGAAGGAACGAAAGAGAGGAAGGATGCAGCTGTATTTACACAGCTCAAACTGCAAGACAGCCGACATAGACAATGCTCACGTGGCTTTTTCCTGGAAGACCCGGGAGGACGTTAAAGTTGCATTTCGAACTCGGTGGCGCGGTGCGCGCTAGTGACAAGAACCGGTGGAACCGACCCGATTCACATGACGAGTCGTCGTTTACCCATTTCCCTAGCATTACTGTGGTATTTCGGGCAGACTCGGAAGTGCGTTGTTGTAACACGCCGAAGGTCGATTGTATAGACCCCTGAGATCATTCAAACGATATCAAGACCTTCAATCAATCATCTGATTGTATCGGACATGTTCAGTACTAGCCAGTGCATTAATTCACCGTTCTGACAAATGGCTTTAACCGCCTGTAAGTGGCTTACAACTTGAAACATCCATGGTATTATGTCAGGATGAGGAATTGATGTACTGACTGGTACTGAACATGTCCAATAGAATCAGATGATTGATTGTAGGTGTTAAAGATCGGTTGAACGATCTCAGGGGTCTATACAAAGAAGCTTCAGCGTGTTACAACCGTACTTCCGAGTGTGCCCGGAATACCGTACAAATACTAGGGGGAATTGGGTGAACGGTGAATAAGCCTGTCCCAAATGGTCCTAGTGGTATTTGACCACTCTCTCAGTTCGTCATATTACAATACCGAACAAGCCTCTTAACAGCCACAACTAAGCCTCCGAGACTGCCTCAAGCATCCTTGGGATCCAATCGTCATCGTTACTAAAATTCGTTTAGGCGCGTATCATGATCGGCCCCGCAATTTCCTAATTAACCCTCCTGTCACCGAAGCGTGTTCCTCGGTTCATTCTCGAGCTTCCTTGTACCCACTGGGTCCTCAATTCCTAGCGGTGGATCAATTTGCGATGCATCGATTGGCTGTCACACTCGTGATAGAGTGTTTCCAATCTTATGACCCGCGGATAGCCCGCTCAATTCAGTTTCGATCACTGTGGGTTGATCAGAAAAATACCATGGTTCATGCCAGCATGGTAACCTAACGGTCGGGACTCTAGTCTTTTCTGCGTAGATATCCACCGACCATGGTGTTCGTAAAGAGTTTAAAGAACCGACCCTGGAGATACGTGAGCCGATTCCAGGACCTACAAAGCCCCAGGAAATCGGACATAGCTTGTAGGACTCTCCATCTCCATTTTCATTAGTTCAAGTCATGTTCCTGTTGACGGCTCCACCAGCCCTAGAGACACACATCTTGGCCCTGGGAGACCTTCTGCTCCCGGAGGCCTTGACAGGGTTTCTGGGAGCATAGCAGTCGCTTATAGGAGCCATACAGCCCCTAGGAAGCCCGATGTAGCGTCTGGGTTCTCGTACCTACACCTCAAGTACTGAAGGCCAGATCCCTATGGATAGTTTTGTTAACTTTTGGAACGGTTGTGAGGGTCTCAACGGTACATAGAGGTGGATAATGTCTCGATATGAACAATTGATCTAAAGAACAACTATTGACTCTAGATACAAGACGTAGCGCTAGGAAGCCATATACACTATGTGGGCCCCGCAGATCACCCCTGGTGACAGACTGCTAGCGCTACACATCTGTTAATACGTACAGGTATTGCTCTGAAAATTAAGCTAATGTGGAAGGCTATGGAAATTCAGTCATGGAGTCACTCCTACCAGAAGTGCCACGTTAGACTTACAAAGCCACCACTGGTGGATGGACCTGGCTCACGCAACCATGGTCGCCTTTTCGAAAACACCTTCACCCGCTGGGACCAAGCTCCATGCAGTTCGCGGCCAATTTCTCGTAGGCTTTGAAATTTGATCCTTTTGGCATCTTTCAAACAATTTCTCTCGTCCGCCTTCTTTTGATGATTTTGTACCGAGGCCCACGTTGAGAAGTGCTATTGGGTAAAGCCGATGGAAGTGAAGGGCTGTGGCTCATTTCCCGAGTCGGTCGTATGGAGCTGGGCTGACCGCGACTAAAGGATTCATGATGGAAAGCGCCCCCGACCTTATGAAATCCAAAGTAATAAAGCCGCCGAACGAGAGATTGGTAGCTTTTAGAGGACAACCTTGAAAGTATATGCGCAGGAAATTTGCTTTCTGGGGCGACGAAGACAGATTGCCCATTTTCTGACCAACGCATTGCCTCCCCATTCGTCGAATCATCAAGGATGCTTTCATATATTAATTCACAAGGTAACAGTATTGATGTTCCAATGGATGCTTTACTTACTCGCTCAGGCTCTGAATGAAGTCGGATGTGTGTAGCCTGAATCCTGGTCTTGCAGTGTTCTCACTGTCACCTTCTGGTAGAGCTGGATCATTCAGTTCTTCATTAACCGTTTGACCCGACCGGGCATTGCTAGCATGCTGGACAGTCGTAGTGTTGGATGGTGAATTCCGATAACCCGAGCTTTCATATTCTGCCGAGGCAACAGGGCTAAAAAGGTTTTCATTTGGAACAGAAAATTGAGCACTGTCAAATGATAAAGCTCCTCCCCCGTGGTTGGCGTGTTGCTTATTTTCAGAAAGTCGAGAGATCAGATCGCGGTGGTTCCGGAGACTTCGCGCAACAAGCGAAATTTGTTCCAAGACTACATTGCTCGGCCTTAGCTTCCTATACAACATCGCAGGTCAATTTTTTAGGCACACACCTTCCCCTATTGCTTTCCGAGCATCAACAAGCTCCTGCAATACCGTGTCGTTTGACTGGAGCTCCTTCTTGCAATCGTCTTTATCTGGCCAAGGGAAGAGAAATCGCCATGGCCTACCAGATCGTAATAGTTGGAGATCATTTTCTGATAGCTCAACGCTAGAATTCCCAATCTTAAGATGCGCTAGGCCCTCAAACTGGGGACCCGCAACCAGAACAAGCTTCGTCCAGGTCAACGGTGGTCCTTCCCTCACGGGCGGTGTGGCAGTAGAGAAAAGGCTCTCTAGGCTCTTGCTCAGGCTCTTGCTAGTCAAATCCTCTCCACGGCCAAAGGCAATACTGCCACCTTCGTTTAATACTGACAAATGGTTCGACAATTCGGTCGAAAACTCGGAAATGGAGATATTGGCAAGCCTGAGAGGGCTTAGACTGTTATCATGATGTTGAGAAATAAAGTTGTTTGCTATGTTCTCCACAGTTTGGCATATTCCATCGCCGGAATCTTCGTTGGAAGGCGTGGTCATTATGTCAGGACCACAGGCTTGAGCATATCTCGGGACTCAAGGAGAAAAAAAGGATAGGAGAATATGCAGTGGCGTAGATTGTTTTGCAGAAGCGGGTTAAAGTTCATCCGTATTACTAATTTATTGACCGCAGCAAGGGTCTACGTTCACATGCATATCCAATGTGTTGCTCGACTACAATGTCTGCCTAGACAATTTCTGCTTGGCAGAAATTAGAATTGCAGCGGTGGTATAGGAAAAGGCGGACAGGTCCAAGTAGATGATGCCCAGCGGGATCGGCGGGGGGCTGTTCCCAGCGTTGCTGGGTTGATAATGTTGTGATATGAGGCTGGTGCAGATCAGGAACCAAGCCGCACCGTCGGAATTAGCTCCGACGTGTCTGTACAGAGACCAAGTTGATTTCCAATCAACATGGCTAATTGTTACATATATAGGCTCATGTATCCCTCTGAAATAACAAGTCAATTCATACCTCTGAACAACGACAGTCTTGCCGGCAGGAGCGAACAATCACAGGAGATACCAAAGTGCTTTGAGGCTAACTTTATTCGACCCATCATTGACCAACTCTTTGAATTCCAAGAAATGAAATAAGTGTACAAGTACCCAATGGAGTCCAATCACACGGGACAGGTGGTAATTTGTGTGCCTTGGTTGGTGAATGCAATTACTTATTCTAGGCCTAAAACTTCCTAGGCTCTAGACAACTCTCTTAAAGTTAAACAGATACTTTGTGACAGTGCACTCCTGATACTCTAAAATATTGCTACAAAAGCTAAACATCCTGTTTGGTTTGTGTTTTTAGTGTTTGGAAGTTTTGCTATTTCCGTCAGCTATCTTCACCCCGATCAGAGCCTCGACCCCGGAAAGGCTTGGCATTGCTTGGCATAGGTCAGCATCTTGCAATCTTGTGACGGGTGGGGCCCACCAGTGTCTTCTTATTGGAGGGAAACTTAAGCATCAAGTCTGACCATTCGTATAATAATTTGGATCTATGGTATCCAATGACATGGAAAAATATCGAACTAGCTCATCCCTGGACAAACATTCAAGTATTAACACTTTTTTTTCTCTTGGCACAAAGTGAACATTGCCTTTCATGCAAAAGATCATCTGAACAGTCGAATAAAACAAAAAGAGGACTCTGTATTGTGACCAATTTAGACAATTGCATCGGCCAAGCCACCATCAGAATATTGGCTTCACGGGGACCACGATCATTTTGCGTATGAATTTGATGTTTCTAGTAGGGACAGATTAGAGTCTATTTTGGGAACTAGCTTTGGGCAGTATCCATTAGCTATCCAGACACTCATGTCTCATCCAACCCTCTCCACGGTTCATTCTTGTTGTCAGGGAATGACAACTTGGGCGGGTCTAGATCACTTCCTCGCCGGAAAAGGAAACCATTACGGCCACAATATCCTCGTATTTCTCATTCGGTGTCTGAAATTTAAGATCTCATGATCATTGAGATACTTGGATGGCCAGATTGGTGCCAATGAGAGTTCTATAAAGCAGGTAAAGATTCCTTCTAAATTTCTTTCATCAGACAACAACAACACACCCATAAGCTTCAGATTCAGAGATCAAACGATCTCAATTTTTCTTGCAAGTCTTATATTACTAACTTTGGAGTGTTTTTCATTTCAACCATACAATATGAAGTCACCACTTTACATGCTCGCCATCCTTCTTCCTCTCATCGCTGCGGCAACTCCAATTGCGGACCCCGAGGCTGACTTCGAGGAACTCGAAGAGCGAGACCGAGGAGATGGCCGAGATGGTGGCCGAAATGGAGGAGGCCGTGATAGAGACGAATGCAAGGTCAAGCGAAGCTATCCATACTACAAGTACCCTTGCAATTCGAGCCCCAGGATTGCCTTTTCCCAAGTCGGTGCTACTTTCACATCCTCCTGCCGGTACCAGTAAGTTTATCAGATACCATCATGATGCACAAGGCCTCATGAGATTTATGTAGGAACGGTGATTCCGGTGTTTGGTACCAAACCCCCAGAGGCTGGGTCAAGGACCAGGATAAGCCCCGAAGATGCCGTATGTGACCCTTCTCTCTTTTATCTTCCTCGCGGAAAAGAGTCATGCTGAACCATATTTTAGGTGGAGCAAACAATCGCTGCGGTTAAACCCATATCGGTGGGCTTTTTTGTGTTCGAAAGCTAAGGGGGATAGCTAGGGAAACCTCACTTGCGATTCAAGATTGGTATTGGATTCTTCAGAAAACCATCAAAATGCGTTATTTTAGCTGCAAATTATGTGCTCGTTTAGCTTAATACTTGTTCTTACTGTTGAGATCAACAAATAGCACAAAAGTCCTGAATCATCAGGGGATCAAAATGTTCCAAATATGTATGTCGAGAGAGAGCCGCTGTAGCAATCAGATTGCCACAAGTACGGAGAACAAGCACATTAGCTGCATTAAGACGACGTCTTTGGGTCAAATTGACTTCTTTCTCTGTGATGGTACATGCCACGCCGTTCCGGGCGGATCCTATTTTGTGGGGGTTTACGGTGCTCTTGGTACTGCCATGATATTTTGAGGCAAACGTGCTTGAGAATCTGTCCATTCATAGTCTCAATAGCCCTATTCTGTTTCTGTTAACTCGAGCTGCTCATTTTCAATCTGGGAGTGATACTTTCAGCAGTTCCGTCAGACGTATTGGAGATTATGAGGTCTGCGTAACACAGATGACGATAGTAATTCATCACATGACGCATATCACAAGCAGTGAGAAAAGTGAAGGGCGGCGAGGAAAGAGTGAAGTCAAGATAATAGGAGACATACATAGAAGAGAAGGGTCGTCCACTGATCATACTCGTTCTGGCACCGATACATGCAGCGATGAAAAGAATTACACAAGCAAAAAGAAGAAGAAAAGAAAAAGAAAAGAAATAAAACACATGAGCCTGTGTTTTTTACTATTGGTACGCCGCCTGGTCTATCCCCACACTAAGACGCCATGTATGCGAAATTCAAAAGACTAGCCAAGAAACCCAAGGTCAAGCGATTTACATCACTATACAATGCTGGTCCTCCCCCTTGAAACTCATGCAGCATGATCAGCATTTTTCCAGTGCTGTGATTGACCGGCGCCTTTAGCACTGCTGTCGCTACTGCGGTACGAAGGGCTCAGGCTAGGAGGGGTCAAGCCGGACATATCACCGCCCTGCACGGCGTCGCCGGCGAGGTTGGTGTGTTTAGGAACACGGCGACCGCTGTCTGGTCCACATGTTTAGCTGAAATATATAGGATCGTTCTTTTCGAATGCGCCGAGGATCTCACTGCGCATACGCTTCTCTTCTTCGCATTGCTCGAAGGGCCAGGTTCCACCAAGGCTGCGGATCAACTCGGCAAGCTCCGCTTCTTGTTGGTATTTGACGTGAAGGACCCTTATAAGGTCACGATTCCATCTGACGACCCCGTTGAGAATGTCGCCCTTCTTAAGTCCCTTCTCCCCCCATTCAATGGAAAGTCCCATGGCGATGTTGCCGGGTATTGTGCGGTGGTCGTTGCGAGGGTTGGTGGCGTTCCCGCCCGCGCCAGCCATAGAGAGAGCGCTGGTGTTCACAAGTTGCTTCCGGACCTTGTCGTCTTCCAGCCGGTGTTGAGGAACCAGATGTGACAGGTCTTGAATTCGCTCGTTGATGTTGTCGCGACGACGGCGCTCAATTAGGTTATGCGAGGAACGGCGGCATCGATGCTTAGCTTCCTTGGATTTGAGGTTCCCTCCGCCGCCGGGGAGATGATTGTCGACCTTTGCAGGTAGTGAAGCATGCTTGCCAGACTTGAGGATCTCAGAGATGCCTGTGTGGTGAGATTGATGAACAGAGGAAGAGATAGGAGAAGACTCGACGTATGACTGGACGCTACCAGGGGTTCCATCCCACTGGTTGGATAGTGCTTTCTGGTGGCGGGCCCGCAACCCAGTGCGAATTAATTGGGGTGGGAAGCTGCCAGACTCCGAAGTGCCCAGGGCCAAGGAAGATTTTGGGGTCGTGGGACTGCGACCATCATATGAAGGTCGTTCCAAGCCCTGCAAGCTTTGGTGCTTGGTGTCGAGGTACGTCTGGTCAAAGGAACTGGCAATCTGAATGGGGTTCTGTTGGTTCATCTGGTATTGATCGAATTTGCAGCGGGTTTGGACGAATGGGCTGGCCATTGGGCATTTCCAGGGATGTTTGAGTACATGTGCGACATTTTACTTCGGTCCTGGAGATTGCTTATGTCATTACCCTGATGGCTATTCTGTCCATTGATTTCCAGATCCAGCAGGTCGTCTGTGTCAATGCCAGAGTTTCCAAAGTTGAAGCTGCATGGTACGTTTTGTTTTAGGCCATATGAGTAAGGCGTGAAGCTATTCTGCTGCTGCATGGTCAACTCTGAGGAGTCCACGCCCTCGTTGAGGTCGCCGGCAAACTGGTTGTACCCCGAGTAACTGGACTGAGACATCATAAGAGGATTAGAACGATTGTCGGATTCGTGTTTGATTATAAGACTGGCTTCATTTTGGCCTTTTCTGCGGGAATCAAGAAGATCCATGGTTGGTTGGGAAAGCTCATATGGTAGATGACGGTCTAGGATGGGTCACCAGCCATTTCAACCCGGTCATGTATGACATCATCCTCAGAAACCGTAACCATTGATGGTATTGGAGGACTTTTTGGCTACTCAGTCCCTGTCTGTGCTATTGAGCCTTTTATTTTTTACTGAAAGTACCACATAATCCATTTATACGCTTGCCCCCTCTCGTAATTGATTGCATACTCAAATATACGATTTGTGATCATCTAAAATTCCCTAGCACCAGCTCTGGCAGGTTCAGTAGCGAGTGAAGCTAAACGACGGAATTGGGAACATTACAAATATTACTTTTTCGCTTTTGGGCATTGTTGAATTTAACCAGCGTGTTTATTGATCCTAATAGTACTTTGAGGGTTACTCAGACAGGTCAAGCATCCGCCTCGCGCGTCTTGTCACTTGTGTAACATTTCATTTGTGGCTTCAATAGACACACCGCCCCTAAGCTAATAAATTTATATCAACTTCCGTTCGGTGCAGTACAGACTAGTACAGCAAAGTACTTGAGAGTGTGATTCTTATACTATAGTAAGTGCAGAATTCAAAGGGTTTGGGGGCTTATGAAGCCTCACAAGCACAAGCACAAGTCAGGCATACATGATATGTTGTCGAACTGAGGGGTGGTATTTTACCACTAAGGACAGGGTTATTCATCAAGTAACCATTCTCTCTTTGTCTCTGTATGGTAAACGGGGTACGCTCGGCATACCAGCGTCGTAACACGCTGGGAATGACTACTGAGATCTGATAACGCTTCAACAGCAAGATCCAGATAGAACAACAATCAATGCATCTCAATGGAATACCCCAATACTAGCACATACTAGTATCTGCCAATCCAACAAGACGTCCTGTATCTCTGGATTGTCTTACCCTAGGCAATTTAGCAGCTAATGAATTTGATCCACCAAGAGGCCCCGCCGCTCAAAACCGTAGGTTTTTTCTATCAGTAGAATATATTCCTGTCCAACTAGTTACATGAAATCTTGTGAGTTGAGATTAATATCTTACCGCTTCTTGGGTGTTTTTATGCATCTGAGTGCTTCAAAGCATCACTAATGCCTTTGCAGGTTTTTTAAAAGCACCAGCTTCAGTTCGATAGTTTGTGTTCTGGTGAAATGTGAAGCGACAATCCAGTGACGTTTTGTCAACTAGTTAGTATAGTACATAGACCAACGGAAGCATATCAAATCTCTCAAGAAACTCAATCCCGTACAAGGCTTGCCATTGATCCAATTGGGTAGCTATTTTATTCTTTCACAAAGCAAGACTTCACAGATAATCATAGCAAGTCATTCCATTTCGAAGATACACCTGTAGGCATTTGTATCAAATTGATTCATTCCTCGCAGCTGGAACATTCGTAGTGTTACTGAATGCTTGGTCAATCCAGTCGATTCTTATCTGAAAAATAACACCAGCTTACACTCACTTCTAGGTGCAGTCCTTTCCACAGTGGCATTCACCAGTATCCGTGTTGCAGTATCCATACTTATCGGAACAGCATGTAGAGGGGTCGGCATCGCGGCAATGTAAAACCGAACATCTCTTAACAATCTCAGCGGGGGCAGGAACAGGGGCAGGAGATGCTGCTGCAACAGAAACGAGGGAGAGGACAATGGCGACGGAGACGGAAATGAACTTCATGATCGCGCGGGAGCTTCCGAAATGGGAATGTAAATTTGACTGACGTATTGAGATGAGTACTTTATTTTAGGGGCTGGTGAAGACGCCCTATTTATACATTTCCTTCCTACTCACAATCCTCCATGAACGTCATTACTCGCAGGGAGTCGTTTTTGAACCCGACGTACTACTAAACCTCGTGTGTAAATGTTGGCACAGTCATCATGTACAGTAGGTAACTAGGATGTAGCGACAGCGGAACGCCTGATCGACACTGAATGCTCCAGATTTTTTCCATTTTCACTGGGCTGTAAGCAGCTTGCAGCCAAGTATGAGAGTTGCATGGTATCGAGCTATTGGAATCCTTCTGACTGGGGTCGAATTGTTCCACATTGGCTAATGGGGTAGACCAGTTGTACCAAAGGGGCATTATAGATCACGGGCTGGTGGTGAGGCTGTGATGATCCCTTGTGGCTGACCCCTTGCAGCTTGTCGGTTCCCCCAATGCAGAGTTCTAAGGTTGGTTAAGACTCGCCAATATTCAACCTTTAATAACCATCCGACAGTATAATACAATGATAAGGTACTCCATATTTCTACAAGGGGGCTATATTTGTAGCTATTAAGCACCAAAGTGCTTATGTCCTGGTTTGGCTCTAATCGAAGAACACATGTATTCTGAGGCATTAAATGAGACCAAACAACTTCATATCACACCTCTGACCTTTTTGCGAGGCGGAAAGTACAAGAATTGAGGCACTGGGAACTAAAACTTTGACTGGGCGAAGTGCGTCCCTCGATGTTCCTTGGCGGTTAAAGCAGGTGGCCTGATCAGGGACCTCCTTGGCTAGAACGGGACCAGACGGACATATGTAGTTTCAAGTCTTATTATACATGTTTGTTACTGGCGCCCCGCTATGTAGCGTCAATTGAGGCAATTGAAGTGCAACACAGAGCGGGAATTTATCTTCTCCGCACCGGCGCATACTTTTGTTTTGAGAAATAGAAACCAATTTGCATATGCCAAGGACCCTGGGTTTATCTCCCTGCATTTCTGAGCTCGAAGGATTGCGCAGTCACGCGGCCGGCCGTGTCGATCCCCCGTATTCCCGCCACCAGACGAAGGCTGAGCAATGCATGAAACCCCTCCTTTTACGAATCGTCCAGTAGGATTTCTCCTGCGATTAACATATGACAACCGCATGTGATAGCCGGCGGAATGTGCTGGATCAAGGCCGAAAAATGCTGTGAAACTGAGGGGTTTCGGGTAAAAAGTGGCCAAAAAGACAATGTTACTCAAGGTGGAGTGTTTAATCTATCTAGAACAGGCAGTTCAAGGAAGTAATAGACATGGATTTAAACTACCAGTCATGAGCACAATCACACTTCATTCGTCCATCCACTCGTGACGATATCTAGCTACATATAAAGGTATTGACAAAATACTGTTGAGTGTAAACTGGGCGTTGCCTCTCTTCTTGGAAAGTACGATGGCTCTTAATTTCCAGCGCACTTCTTGAGACAGTAATCTCCGCTCTATCATAATTGATATGGTTAGCGAGAAGTCAAAGTTACGGAAGCAAACTACATACTCCACCGTCGATTCTGCAGAGAGTGAAACAATTGTTTGTTGGCTGCAGGTGCAGGCAGGTATGTTAGTCCATGGTTGTTCATCACCGAAGGGAAATGACTTACCACTCGCTTTTCAACCTCAACAGGCGATGCAAGTGCCAGGCCAATAAAGGTCGCAATGGTAATCATGTAGAAACGCATGATGAATGTTTGATGAGATTGAAAGATTCGTGAGAAAGTATACTTGAAGATGCGAAGATTCGTGGAAGAGATTTGATTCTGAGTCTTCACTGGAGATGGAAACCCTGCAATTTATATATTTTCGATTGTCGTAGAATTTCCTGGGTAGCAACTTGTCCTTCTGTTCCAGTTATCATGAAAAATACGGCGTCCTAGCGAGGATTCTGTCCACGACTTGTGCAGGCTTATGTGCATATGATTGAATTCTGTAGGAATGGCTGTGACCAAAGTTGATTCGCGGTCCAAGAAACGCCAAGAATGATCTGCGAGGAGAACATGCTATTTGAGCCAAAACGTTCACGGTTCTGTAAGCTGCCTTCTGCTCCAGGTTAGACCTTACACTGCCCACTGGTCAAATTTACTGCAATGTAACCTCAATTCTATAGCGAATCAATTGACATGATGTCAGTGGTAGTTTACGACTAAGCCCGTTTTGGACAGGATCCACAAGAAAAGCTTACTAAGAAGCAAGCCCCTGAGTCTGAGTATGTATATAACAGGCGGACGGATGTATTTAGAGGAACAGCTGTTTAGTGATAATCCATTGCTACGTACGAGACCTTACCGATCCATCGATCGTCGACACATTATTAATAGATGTAGATAGACAGCAGTATCGCCCTACCCATGCAACAACCACCAAAATCAACTTGCTGACGGCATACCACGCACCACGGAATGAATAGCTCTTGCCGGGATGCCCGACACTCACACCGACGCGGCTGTAAGCTGGCACGGCCTCGAAAATGATATTGAATGTCGAAAACGACACAGGTTGGGATTGGTAGTGAACTAATTCGACAGCCGTTATGAAGAGAACCGCAAGTGAGATCCAGAAAATGTGGTTACACTTACGTTCATCATTCACATGCTAGTTTGCAGTAATATTTGTGTACATATTGCACCCTCTGTCCGTATTTCTCGCCTTCGAACTCCCCTAAGAATTTCTTCTCCTTCCATTCTGCGGCCGGTTCCAAGTTTTTGTAGCTCACTCTTCATTCACCGTGACAAGTGCATGCGCGATGAAAGTGAAAATTTTGGAGTGAAGTTCGGCCTTAGCGTAGGAGAATTACATAAGTCTGCCAGAAAACAACCTCGCGCCCGTTAAAAGTCAAACACATCAAGAACTAGAAAATCAAAGATCCACTGGTTCACTGGTTCAGTAGCGCTTTTGTCGAAGAGTGTCATTTAATTAATGTAGGTTGAAGGCCAATGTCAGCTTGATATTGCTACCAGTTTGGGACGTTTCTCGCGCCTATTTCGATGAACGCGAAAGGGATATTGGGCGAAACGTGCCTCCCGGCATCCATTACTGGCCCTCCTAGTGATAGGTCAGTCGTCACGACTGGCTTGCATTTCGTCGGGAAACTGAACCTCCCGCTTCCGGGGGCACGGCGCTGGAGTGATCGTCTCCGATTTGATCTCATGTTGGCTCGCAGCACTCGATGGGGCAGCCGCCGCCAACTGATTGACCGACGACGTACCTGCCTCCGAGCGAGGGTGGTGAGGGTCTGACGGGTCCGGCATGATGGCAGTACGCTGGATACACCTGGATTCGATGTCGCTAGGCTTTCCGACGAGAAATTTGCCTAGCACTGGGATTCTGCGCCGAATTTCCACCGCGCGTGGCTCGTCGCTCAGCACCCGGCCGAACGTCCGAGGTGCCATGTACCCCATCTTTCCAAGTGGGATGCTGAGCCCATGAACGACCTTATGCAGCGTTAGATGAAACTTGAATATAGAGGCATAAAGTTTGTGACTTACAATACTACAGACCGCGAGGAACCAGACGACAACCCGAATTGTTTCGGCAAGATCCTTGACGTCGCTTCGAGGAACACCGTCCTCGTCACTCAAATGTTCCTCGATGAACTCCATGCTCACAAATAGGTAGAAGATAGCAGAGACGCCAATAGGCCCAAAGAAGCCCACGAAGACAGCTTGTCTGACCTCTTCAATCTGGGGGATCCATTTGTGCATGCCAAACACCCAAGGCAGACGTCGCAGGAGAAGCACTAGGATACCAAGGACGACGAGACGCCAAGTCGAGATTACGGAATTATGACCAAAGTGGCTCCAGGGTATATACGCGCCGTACCACAGGAAGATGGTGACGTTGAGGAGCATATCGATTGTCGGCTGCAGGGAGTCGTCCTTGGTCTCCAACCGGAACCAGTCGTCCCAGGTAAACGTGTTACCCGCAATAAAGCAGGCGAGGACGTCGTCGGTGCCAATGAGACCGCACGTGCCCAGAACGAAAAGGGCGAGAGCAATGGCGAAGACGAGGAAGCTCTCGCGATCGACGTAGTTACGCTCCTCTGCCCAGTGCAGCAGCTTCTTGCCAACCCAGCCTACCACGGCGCCATACAGAATGCTGAGAATGATCGTGTATCCCCAGGTGAAGCCGAACCAGAGGCCCATGGCATCTCCGGCGCTGCCGGACGCAGCACCTGAGCCTACATATTTGACGAGGTAGAGCGCAAAGAAGAGAAATGGATAGCCGAGTCCGTCATTGGTTCCCGACTCCGCAATTATGAGGTTTTGCAGGTCTTTGGGGATGTTGTGGTCCGCAAACTTGCCCTTCACAATGACTGCGGAGAGCACAGGGTCCGTGGGCGTTACGCATGCGCCGACGGCTAGGGCGTGCAGGAAACTGGGCGTCCTGGCAATTGCCCAGATGAGTAGGCTCGTGGTGATCCACATGGCCGTCATACCCGGGCCGACAAGCAGCAGGACCGACTTCCATTCCTTCTTTAGGTACTTGCTGGGCAGCTGGACTCCGGCGAGGACCAGTTGAACGCCCAGAACCAGCCGGGAGAAATTGAGCGTAATGGCATTGAGATTATCGCGGCATTCGATGACGGAGACGCCCTCGTGGTTACACTCAGCGTAGTCTCGGGGCCGAATAAAATTGGCTCCATTGGGTCCAAAGGCGACGCCCACCAAGAGTGAGATGACTGCATTTTCGCCATAAGCAAGTGATCTTGGTGTCTTGTTTATTCCAGGACGGCTTCCCCAGTCCCGAGTGCCTTCGCACTGGATGAATATCGACGTCCTTGAATCTAAGCAAACGGTCGCACGAAGGGAAACTCACGTGCTTCAGAGACATAGTAATTTTCCTTTAAAAGGTACGATATGAGGCCAAATAGGGAGATGAAGCCGCCCAATAGGGAGACGATGATGTTGAAATTAGAGAGCTGGAGCGGGACCGCCCAAATGTTGTGCACCATCCCGGCGGAAGAAGACGTTAGCAGGAGAGGTTGGTGGTGGCAATCACGTGAGAAAGGCCCAATGAGATAGGGATCATGGTTCGCTTTGTCAAGGATGAGGTCGACGAGTTAGCAGCAAATGTTGGCAGGGATGGTAAGACTCGAGCTGAAATTGCTTCTCCAATGCTAGCGATGACAACGCCGATGATCTAGGACTGTGAAAAGGGTTGGTAAGGAAAAGAGGGAACTTTCCAACGGACCTTCGGCTCCTCGGCCAACAGGGGCCATGGAGGGCTTTTGCCATTCGTAGACAGAGGGTCGATAGTGGAGCCAGCCGACGGTAGCGGCGCTCAAACCATGGATAGTTGCGATAGGCGGTTTTGTGCCGACAGTGGCACGTACCACGTTTCAGCTTGAGGTCTGCTGACCAATCATCGTGTATGGTATTTGTAGTCAAAATAGGCGAGGCGGTATTGAGATGGGACGCTGGAGTTCGCCCAGTCGAGTCTCGCTATCCCTGACTATTCCAAAACTTATCGCTAGGCTACATCACGAATAATCGTGCACTCCAACGGCGATCTCTCCATTTAGGTTCCTTTTTTATGTTGGATTAATTGACGAACTGAGAGATTGGTCAAATACCACTAGGACCCTTTGGGACAGGCTTATTCATCGTTCACCAATTGCCCTAGTATTTGTACGGTATTCCGGGCACATTCGGAAGTACGGTGTTGTAACACGCCGAAGCTTATTTGTTTAGACCCTTGAGATCGTTCAACCGATCTTTAACACCTACAATCAATCACCTGATTCTATTGGACATGTTCAGTACCAGCCAGTACATCAATTCCTCATCCTGACATAAACATTGATGCCAGCTCTACATGTGCACTGAGAGTCAAATTCATCCGCACATTTTCGTAGTGGACATAGGGTACCTTTTGACAAGGAGTCCGGATAAGACCACATTGAACTCCACAGAGGCCACGGCTCATAGAAAGTGGAGAGCACGGATGCACCGGCGCGAGCGTTGTTGTAACAGGAACCTTGTCTTGTCCGGTGTGGAAAACCAGACATACTCCAAGCCAAGGTCAGCATCCTCACTTTGCAGTACCACTCGAAAGGGACCTTCCAACGTCTCAGTCAACTGCAGTCAAGCTCGGACTAGTAATCTGTTGGCATCTGTAAACCCTGGTGCATTAAACGGTAGGTGGATCATTTTTGGGCTTCTAGGGTCATGTCAACCTTTCTCTTGACCAAAAGCAATTGAAGATTTAGATTTATGGGTCAGACAGGCCAGCTCAAATCGCTCTGTTGTACCATACATTTCGCAGTGCAAACATGCGTCTCGTATTTTCGTTCATCCTAGGACTGGACACATCACCATCTGCTTTTTGGTCAATCACTTATACATAACTACTGACTGTTCACGTGCAGGCAATAGCATCCTAGTCCCCGTTCTTATTCGTCTCTGATGATGAAAATAACCTCTTCCAACCGTGTCGCACCTGCCATCCTCTCGTGACTGTCCTGTGATCCCTTGATTTACAGATGCAAACCCATAAGAGAAGTAGTTCTCCCCTCGCCCCCTCATGGTAGCTGAGGTCTCAGTTAGCGCAAGACAAATAGGCATTATCTTGTCACTGACATGATCGGAACCTTGAGTAGCGTAACCATCCCGTGCTGACATCCTCTGCATCACCTGCACCAAATTACTTTCAAAAGGGTCGTCTCAGCATTGCGAATGCATCATTATCTCGTTCTGGAGACTCATCAACTCAGAGCGTAGTTGGTTGATATCAACTAGAAGCTGACTATTGTGGGCAGACTGCTCTTTGTACTCAGACTCAAGGGCCGCGTTGCGGGATCTAGCTTTGTCGCGGCATCTTTTTGCGGCTTTTTGCTGGTTCTTCAAGTGCTTTTTGCGTTTTGAAATATGGCGGGTTCTTGATTATGATGACCTGGCACTAGTAGTCCTGTTTGATTCTGGAAGTGGCTGCGTCCCTTGCCGTGGCTCTCTATTTCCGGGAAGTTTCTCCGGTTGATCAATGCTGGGCATAATGGGCTCTGCATTTTGAGCATTCTGGGCTTCGCTGACCACCAAGTTGGTCATTTTAGGCGTGAGAGACGTTGCATCATTGGAAAGGAACAATTGTCCTAAACCGCCCGGTGGTGCGGCAGGAAGACAAAGACGTGTATCAAAAGCAGAGCCTAGATGGGTCACCTCGCCTAACTGGAGAGTAACTGGGCCCTCTTGGAGTTGCAGGTCGAGGTGGTGGGGACATGGTAAATCTCATCTCATCCGTAAGGTTGGGAGGTGAGGAGGCTTGTTGGAGGCCCAGGAATATGTTATGGTGCGGGTGGCTTGTAGGACTGAGGACCTCCAAATTCGGCCTGTCGACCAAGCACCAATCCACATTTGAATTTAGGCTAGTCATCGTAGGATTTACTCATCGAGCTCAATCTTGCAAAGAAGGCATCCAAAGACGATTTATTTGAAACGACGGCAAGGGATTCTTGACAGCCCGCGCACATTCATTTCGGCTTGACTCACTTGCAGTTCTAAGGGAAACCAAAGCATATCCAAGGGAAGGTGAGCTGGTTGGAACCAAACTAAGGATGGCTCTTTATATACAGCAGGCGGATGTTTTGTGGCAATCGGGTATTCAAATGCAGTCGCATGGGGAAGCAAATCCGTGGCGTGAAGAAGTGAGGGTCCAGGAACTTTAATCTGGGATGGTTGAGCCAACCAGGGTTATCGGTCGTCGCATTGCAGGTCGAACGACTACCATGTGGGGCATGAATACAGCAGTTCCCGAATGCGTTAATCATCAGATAGACGGATAAAGCCTAGATTTTTTACAATCTACAAAAGTTCAACAATCCTTTCTAAATGCTCTTTTCATGATTGTACTGCATTGTTTTCGTAGCGCAAATATTTGTCAACATCTGGGGCTGTCAAAGCTGAGAGAACAGCGTTAAACTCGGACCAACTAAGGTCCTCCTGGGATCTTCAAGGAGCCCCGGGCATGTTGTCGGTCACACACGCGTAGGATCCCGGCAAGACAGGGATCGAGGGTCAATCAGGGCTCATCTTTACTGTCCCTAAAAGCCAAAGGTTAGTCAAGCTACTGCGGAATGTTGAGAAGTACTCCAGCGAGTTGACTATAGAGGAACCAGGGTCGCAGGAGACGATATTGTAGCTTTTTTTGTGAGGAAGTTCGGCCATGAATCGAGCTTCTTGGTGAAGATAAACAGTCTCGTAAGGCGCGGGCGGCACTAAATGCGCAAAAAAATCTTTGCGCCGCTTTTAGCGGATAGTGGATCCATCTTAGCGACAATCAATGAGTGTGAGGCTCATCTAGCCGAAGCTACTCTAGAGGATAGCTCTTGGCATCAAGAGAAGAAAAGATCCCATATTTTCCCATCCTGATTTTGGACGGGTTCTACTGAGGCCTGACTGCGTGAACCCCTCGGTGACGGACAAGCGCTCTAGCTCTACCATGAGAATATTGTGCCCCGTTTCCCCTGTATCCCAACGGTTTTCCTTCATAGATATCCAAGCAATCCTCCTGCAAATCATAGCTTGGAGCTTGCGAGGCCCTCAACATCGAACTCAGTTGAACATAGCAAGAATGTATCACGAAGGGCCTAAGTAGTCAGTACACAATTTACGACCTCGACATGAAAGGAAAGTGAGGAGGGCAGATACTGCACTCACCGATAACCGATACCTCTCGTTGATAGACTGATAATCCTCCCCAGCAAGCATATCACAGAAGTGTCGGATGGAAGGGTAATGCACGATAGAAAACTCATTCCACCAATCCTGCTGCGACCGACCCCTCGACCCCCGCGAATCACCCTTCTCCGACGCAGGTTGCACCACATTGCCCACCAACTTGGCATTGCCGCCGCGTTTCCCCGCGACAGGAACGAACGCCTGGCCGTACCGATAGTAATCATTCTTTCCATCAGGATGGTGGAATTGCAGCAGGTTCAGCATGGTCACGGGTCCCTGATGGGTCTGTGAAAGTTCATTCATGAATTTCAGCAGCTCGGGCGACACTTCCAGGTTCTGTGAAGCCACATTGCTTCCCTCGCGGAGGATACTATCCAGGGAACCTGTGAGAGGTATAGATGAGGCGTCGTTCTTCAATTGGGTGTCTCTGGACGAGTAGTTGGAGAGGAGCTTCGAGGGGACTCCGGTGGTTATTATGTATTCATTCGTGATTAGGTGGCGCAAAACACTTGGAATTGGGTCTTGTTCGGTTGGTTGGGTGATTTGAAGGAGGACTAGTAAGTCCCATAAGTTGGAGGCGAGAGGGTTATTGTCTAGTATATTTGGGTGGATTACGACATGACGTGGGCGCGAGGCGACAATGACTCGAGTATTGGGCGATTGCTTGAGTTGCTGAAGGAACGATTGCGCATCTGTAGATTTGGCAAGGGTAAGGAGGTGGAGGGTAGCGACGGGCATGGTGCAAAATTGAAAAGTCGTTGCTATTTGAATTGAGGGCATGTAGAAAAGGAAACCTCAAGGAGGTCCTCGGAGACAAGACGATAACAAAGCATGTTTTTGGTGCGGAGAAAGGGATTGATCGGCATTCAGCGTGCCGAGGTTGTCGGCAATAAGTTTCCACCTAAGCTACGAAGAAGTCGAGCTACTTCTTATTCCGAGTTTGAAGAATAGAAGTATTCCGACCTGGTTCCTGGATGACAAACGAAGCTCTGTATAATGTTCCTGCGCCTTCAACCAGGTTTTTAATACAATGCCTCTCCGGTAAGCATCGTATGGCTGCTCTGCGAAGATATGAGGAGATTTATTGGGGTCTGTGTCACGTGATTCCCGCACAGAGCCCACAGGCATACGGAGGGGTTCCTTCCCTCCTGCAACTGCCTCACGGGAGTCAATTGCTCGCCTCTGCTGGTAGCTCGTCATCTCTCGCGCAGTCAAGACTCGTTTTGTCCCTCCCACCTTCCCTCTGTACATAGAAACCATTGCAAATATACAGAAACATTGCCTCCCTACAAGGGAGCGCGGATGGGCTCTATCTGACGCTACGATCTAAGACCGCAGCGACAGGTGACCTGTCACGGCCAAACTATACACGTTCCTGATCCCTCTTGACTGGGTGAGGTCACCAATAAACCGATATATAAACCCAATTTATCTTCATGGTCACAAGTTCAGAAATTGAATGTTCACAACTATGGCGAAGGCTCAACGAGTTGAGCGACCGTGACCTCGCTTTTTTGCGGTCTAGACGACAGACCCACAGCTCAACACATCAAGCACATCACTAAAGCGAGGCTAGAATAATAATCCATGATGTCGAGAGATGAAATTAAAGGCGCTTTTCGGTGATTCAACGTTGAGTCACTCACAGGTGAGGTACCAGAACAAGAAATATGAGCCTGTCATTGCGAATTGAATAGTACTCAGTGCCTCAATTTCAGACGGCCGTGAAGGATTCAACAGTCAGCCAACGTTTCTTGACCAACTAAGCATCCTGTTCTTCAACACGGCTCTCACTCGTCTCTCTCGCTGAGAATCTAAAGGTTAAAGATATCGCTGCAAATAGTTGCACTTAAAAGAAGACGTGGGTTTCAACAGGCCTCAATTACGACAGGCGTCCTTCAATACTGCCTGCCCAGCTTGTAACTGACAGAAGCCGAGAAGCCTATAAATACGTCCTCTACCCCCGGCAATTTGCTCTACAATTTGCTCACTTGACTACGCAAAGTCGAGCAGGATTGTGTCTGAGTCACTTGATAAGTTCTTCCCCATCGAGCCGGTACTGAAATTCCATTGTACTGACATTTAATACATCGTCGATTAGCAAGCCAGACAATGCTTGTGAGAGATACAGGTATGATTCCTACCAGATGCACTGTCATTCACACCAGCCAATTAAAGATGTCTGTCTATGCGAAGATGCCTTCGCCAAAGCAGCCGACTGAGCTCATCTACTGTACAACCCGTGTGTGCATTCCCAAGAAAAAGCTCGTATATGCACGTCGCACGTATATAAATCTTAGCTTGACCTTTCTGAATTCTACTGATCCTGAAAAAGATGCGATTCCTATAGAATCGAGGACATTCGACAACAATGTACGAGCGCAAGAGTCACAGCTCTTTGCCGTCTCTTCGTCCTTAGTTTTGGCCACCAAAACATGTGAGTCATGGATTATCTCGTCGATCTACAAGCTAATGAATGATAGTGAACTATTGACATCGCACCAGGGCCCGAAGGATATAGCATCCCGTTAGCACTCTACACAAAGCCATGGCTTAAACACCATTCCCGGCCCCGTCGCTTCAAACCACGCAACCTACCCCAGGTGAACAATATAAACCAGAGGAGCGGGCCAGTAACGGATGTGGAATCTGATTGCGAGCTTCGCTGCCTAAAAGGCTGAGACATCCATTCTTCCTGGTAATGTGAGTGATTTATCGCGCCCTCCGCTGCGCTATATCAGTTGTTTGCGATGTTTTGTGCTTCAAATCTCGAATACCATTACTAAATCTTATGTCAGGAGCAGCCATCGCCACTGTGAAACATACTTGTTGGGAGTCCTATCGCCGGATCGGAGATAAGACCATGGTGGCACTACGACGCGTGCCCATCGCATCTTGCGCCTCGACCTCACCGTCTCCACACCACGAACGGCGAAGTGTATGAACCTCGCGCCGTCCCCCTCGCGAGGTATTATCCCATTACGACTGTACATTTTTCTGTCACAAATGATTCGTCACGCGCCTTTGGCTCTCAAACATTGCCCGGTGCACCCAGCGCGGCTTATTCAAAGCGACAGCCGGAGAGTGCGACGAACTGGAGACATCATGTCAACACGGCATGAATGGTGACGGATTGATGAATACAATTGTAAGTGATCCCGTCGGTAAGATATGAACAGGAAGCTAATTGATCGTCTCGTCTCAAGCGAACATGCTCCAAACTCTATGAACAGGTAAGTCATAACAACTCGTCCAAGTAGTTCAAGCCTTGCTGACTTGGATCGTACAACAGGACACCCCTAATATTGCCGTCACTCGATTGCCAAGGGAGAAAATACCTTGCCTCCCTCGAGCTCCCCTATGCCGACGCGATCGCATGCTGTCTATCCGTTCCAACTCAATACTCGTGGCATCGACGATGAGTCAGTGTAAGGTTCAGATCGTCTACCTCGGACCTTCTCTTAGTCGACTCAGTGCTGCAGGTCGTGTGCTGATGTGTGTCGGCATTCGAACCCCGCGAAAGAATAGCTTCCTTGTGGATCGAATTCCTGGCGTCCAATGGGTGATCCTCGTTGTCCTCGGTTGGCATCTCACGTCTTCTCAGTCCTGGAACTCCAAAAGACCGAGGAATGATGGTGGTTTTGTCCACAGCCCGGCCTTTTTGAAGCAACGGCCGGAGAGTGCGATGAACCAGAACACGACATGGCATGAATGGTGCTGCATTGCCTTGCCGAAGAGGATTGTAAGTGATCTGTTTGGCAAGTTCACATGATTACGAAGTTTACTGACCGTCTCTTCTCAAGCGTACAAAGCGTGCCCTCTGCAAATTCTTTGAACAGGTAATTCATAATAGCTCGTCCAAGTGATAAGCCTTGCTGACTCGTATCGTACAATAGGACGCCCTCATTTTCTCTGCTCGAGCTCCCCTCCACCGATGCGATCGCATATTGTCTACCATTTCCACATAACACTGGTGGCATTGATGATGAGCCAATGTAAGGTCCAGGTCGTCTCGGCCCTTCTCTCGGTCGACTCTGTGCATCAGTCATGTGCTGATGTGTCTACCCGATACAAAGCTCAGGCCACAATGGGCTTATGCCACCGTGTCTCGGCATTCGAACACCGCGAAAGAATAGCCCCCTTGTGGATCAAATTCCTGACGTCCAATGGGTGATCCTCATTATCCTCGATTCACATCTCACGTCTTTTGAAGCCTGGCAGCTCGACAGGCACCGGGATGAGCTCATGTTTCAGTCTGGCTCATGGCGGGCGAGTCCTATTTTCGTCGACGAGCAGGCTGTGGGTCTAAGTCTGCGTGCAAGGAAAAGGTGAGGCGGGACCCCATTATTTCGAGCCTACAGATGAACATTAGCCATATCAGGTACGGACCGATAAAAGGAGACGGTAGGGTGTCGAGTCATAGCCGAGTCAAAGCACGAGCAAAGAGGTGCCGTCCGATAGTTTTCCCTGATCCTACTCCGCGTTGCTGAGCCGGTCGATGTATTCCAGCGGGTGGAGCTAACAAGCGGAAACGAACAGGTGAAAGGGAATCAACCGGACACGCACGATGCAACCGGACATGCACGACGCTGCATCAAGAGCACCGTCAGAACTGTTGTGGTGTCTTTGGATATACGCTGGCTGGATCTGATGCCCAAGCACGCTTTTTCTATCCAAGCCGAGTAAGTTGTGCAAAGACCATTTCCCCTCGATGTCACTGCATCTGCAGGTTAGTCAACCCGAGCGCGTGTATCTATCACCAAAATCGTCTTCTGACATGCGTGCAAGCGGTTTTCTCAGGGAATGGCCGAGCTCTCTACGTCCCCTACGTCGACTGCTCTTGAGCATCAAATATATTTTGTCAAACCTCACCGTGCCCTGGACAACATTTGGCATATCACTGTTCCATCAGATCTTTTGTAAATGTGAGTTGGATGTCTGCACAAAGTTACTCAGAGCCATCCTCTGTGCGACCTCTCTGACTGTCTATGACAGCCTATGCTAAAATCTCTACCCCTAATCAGCATTCATTTGATTGCTTTCGGCGGGATTGGTTACGCGCATGTCTGCTGCGGCTCCAATCCAAGTGGATCGCATCATCAAAGTCCGTCGTAAATGCTGGCGGAATCGTCGTTACCAGATCTAGTCAAGATGGCGCTTGCCAGACCCGATCGGGCTGCAACCATATCCTCTACACAGTAGAGTATGCTCGATCGCGTGAACTCGGGTATTATGCCCAAAAAGCAATATCGATCGCTTTGGGTGCAGTAGTGGATGTTGATAATGGGAGAGGACAGGCGATATAAATCGTAGTTGCTCGGGATTATTCACGGGGTTGCGACGACTCTCCCATGATTTTCGAGCCAAGCCCCTCAAATTCTTCGCTGTCTTTGTTGGGAATCCACTTTGACTTGCGACGGTTGTGGATGTAGGCAATCTACAGCAGAGTGAGTGACTTGCAAGCCGCCTGAAGCGGCAAATTCGACTACGCGAGGAACAGTCTATCGCATCACCGTGATTACCTGAGCAACAAATTGTATTTCGAGCGCTCATTCAATGCTTCATCTATATCTGGTAGGTCTGATGTGGGTGTTTTGCCTAATCATAGCTTCACCGAGGGATATTGGTGTTTGTATTGGACCAGCTCAATCGAACTGGAGGCTGTGTGCGAACTTTACTGAGTAAATACCAGGGGGACTTTCGTAGCAAGTGATGCCAAATGGTGCAGAATGAAACTA